GGACATTCTGGCTCAGGGACACGGACAAGGTAACATGCAACTAAATAAACTGAAAATCAAGAACTAATTTAACAAATACCAGCTTCTCCTTGTCAACAAATGGAATAGTTAAGGCTCTTCTTCGCTCCATCATCGTTCAGGATTTCATAAGGCACTGCAAGACACATGCAAAGGGCATAATAAATAACTCTGTACTCTGGCAAACATAGAACAGTATAATTAGACATGCAGTGATTGTCAATATGATCAAAATCTGATTGTTTTTGTTTACTTTAGTAGTTTTGCCAGTGATCTGATTAGCTAAATAACTCACTCACCCTCAAAGTAAAAAGGTACATGAAGACATAATAAAAAAATCAAAGTGAGAATAAGAGTTTGAGGTGGAGAATTGACGGAAACTTTATGTTCTATGCAGATATTTTCTCTGTTCAAGTCGATTTATATTAAACAATCTCCAGGTGATATGGTTAAGACCATGCAATAATTTGCAAGAAAAGAGTGAATATAAATGAAGATGTAGTAGTTAAACTTACAATAGTCAAGCTGTAATCTGACTTGAGAACAGTTACAATAAAATTCATAATAATTAACCAATCTAATCCATACCAAAGATATTCAGAGTTAGTTTCTTAATTATTATATTTGACTCTGGTGCCATTTCTTTATATGCAAGTCTTGTGACTTAATCCAGTGCAATTTTAATGTTAAATGCACTTAATTAGGCAACATAATGATAAATTTCTGATTTAAAGAAAGTGACAAAATGTCTTCTTTGTGTGTTTGAATAAATGCCTTAAACAAACATCCTGGATATTATTTATACATTTCTAGTGAGAAAGTTTTGCAACTACAAGTTTTCTCTGTCTAGGCACTTTATTTCTATGATCTACAATGAAAACTAGATAAACACAAATATGTAGACGTGTATTGATCTCAGTTCTTTTTCGCTTCAGGATAAAGATCTCTAGTTTTCTTTAGGATCTGACCAGTCAATCCTGATATTGACCAGCTCAATTATTTTTTTCCAAAGGACTACAAGACATGAAATCGAAAGATAATTTCCCACAGTCTTTTTGTTTGTTGGTTTGTTTGTTTTTAAAAAAAAAAAAACAATTGCAAGGTTTAAAAGGTCTAAATTTTATCTGAAGGTCATGTGTATCTTCTGTAAACAATTGGTTATTTCTCATCTGGATTAGTCAAAGATGCTACTCCTTTTAAACAATAATACCCTTCTCTCATCTGATGCCTTGAAATTCACCTCCTCCCCATTCTAACACTCCCTCCTCATGTCATCAAAACACTGATTCTTCATGCCGTTAAAAGTTCTTAGGAGCTTTGTAGTTTAGTTGTTGAGCTCAGGAGATGTGGAGTTCCACCAGGTGTTTGCTAATTGCTGGTTCCACTAGTCTGGTGGAGGTGTGTGAGGAAGGAGCAATGGAGGCGTAGTGGAGGTGCAGCGTCGGACGTTGGAGCTGGGTTTGGTGTCACACTCGAGATAACAAAGTTGGGACTCTTTCATGCATGTTTGAGAAATCCTGGACTTTTGTGTTAAGAAATATTAAGTCTTTTAACAGCCCTGATACATCCCACAAGATTTAAACCATGAGTGGAAGTGCTTGATTTTGCTCTAATAAAACTAAGACTAAAATTTATACTGAAGTTATGGATATGGTGAACAGAAGCCCAAAGGAAAGAGGGGGCACTATGCTGGACCCAACATGAAAGACAATATAGGCTTCGAACTAGATGGTGAAGTAGTCGGAGTTGCTCACACCGTCACAGAGACAAATCCAACTTCAGAGGGTGTTCCAGTTGACTTTTCCAACTGGAAAGTCAGAAGTTGCTACTTCTGACTTCAACTCGAAGCATAATGAAGATCTCAGATGGAGCTCAGCTTTGGGTAAATAAGTGGTGAACTGAATGAGCAAGCAGTGAGGCACCCCCTACTGAGTGTCACACAAAAGTCCAGGATTTCTCAAACATGCATGAAAGAGTCAACATCACACATTGGCGAAGTCTTTCACAGGGGAAGGGCATTATAACATGGCAAAGACTAAAAAAGATGATTTAGCATAATATAAAGAGGAAGTTCTTCTTTTTTTCTTTAGTAAAAATTCATTGTAAATTTTTCTCATTCTGAAAAAAGGGTGTTGCAGACTGACACTATGAGTCAACATGAAATTATAATATATTAACTCTTAACCAAGTCTTCTCAGTGACGTAAAAGAAGGCCTGTTAAAGTTTCCCAGTTCTTCATTTTACGTAGGCCTCGTTTTATCGTTATGCTTGATTTAGAAAAATAAGAAAATCATTCAACGTTCTACTTCTCTTGAGGTTACACAGGCCAAAAACATGGATGTAAACAACTTTAGTAAAGAAGGGCATGATGTAAACCATCGTTAAGCCTAGGGCGGGAATATATGGGAAACCACCAAAAGCAATAAAGTTGATCTGAAATTACGAGCTTGTTTGGCATCTCGTGGTATGAAAGATTAGCCAGGTGTTCCTTTTGTCATTTGAACCCATGTTTGTGTTGCAGTTAACACGTGTGTCACATTTTTGAAAAGCCGGTCGTCCGTGTTTAAGTCGTGCACACGCTCGCAGCCATTATGTGATGTGCTTCATAGATTATTTTCTACACAACTAAACTACAGAAAGTGTATTTTCTTCGAAGCTAACACTAGCAGCCGTGTTGCTGCTAGTGTAATTTAGCGTTCATGCTAAATGTTGTCCACGCTGTTAACTGCAGTAATATCTAAACTTACCCTGCAGGCCAGGGCCTCCTCTGATAGTCTCTCTTTATACCAGAAGAGATGAGAGAACAGCTTTTCCAACAGTGTTTTTCTGTCGCACCTTCCTTGAAAAGACGGCACACATCCTTTCCAAAGGGCTAGACTCTGCACTCAACAGGCGATTCTGATTCCTGTAGCAACATCCGGCGAAAGGAGGAAGTGCATCCAGAAAAATATTCCGAAAAGGTTTGTGTCCAGAAGACAAAACTATTCACCAGACCAATAATATTAATAATAGTAAAGAAACAAATAAATTGATGAATTAATTAACTTAAATAAAATAGCTATCGTGGCGCTAAGTCGCTCCAGAAAGTCGAACTGAATCGGCCGTCAACGACCACACATATATATTTGGTGACCAAAGAAAGCTCTACTGGCCCCTTCTGGCCATACAGTGGTATTTCATACGATGAGGTTTTTAAGTCATAGAACAGTTTTGCGTAATATTGAAGCGAAAGAAACAAGAAAATTTGATTATCAAAAATTTCAACAACTAAAAATCTGAAAATTGCAATACATATTTGTATAGCTATATACAAAAACAATTATTTAAATTTAGCAAGAACTTTATTCCTATCCTGTAATTCTTGTTCTTCACAATGCTGTTCATTATTACACATACATACACACACACACACACACACACCAAGTGATTGCAACATCAGGAAAAAGGAGCACGAGAAACTGGAGAAATACCAGGGCCTCAGGGAAGAACTGGAGAGGGCCTGGAAGGTGAAGACCACAGTGGTGCCTGTGGTCATCGGGGCCCTCGGGGCAGTAACCCCCAAACTGGAGCAGTGGCTACAACAGATCCCTGGAACAACATCAGACATCTCAGTCCAGAAATGTGCAGTCCTTGGCACAGCCAAGATACTGCGCAGGACCCTCAAGCTCCCAGGCCTCTGGTAGAGGACCCGAGCTCAGAGGATAAGAACCACCCGCGGTGGGTGAGAAGGGAATTTTTATATATATATATATATATATATATATATATATATATATATATATATATATATATATATATATATATATATATATATATATATATATATATATATATATATATATGTGTGTGTGTGTGTTTATAAAATGTTATAAGGTATCATTTGCAATACCCTTGTTTACATCCATGTTTTTGGCCTGTGTAACCTCAAGAGAAGTAGAACGTTGGAAAAAAAGCATTGCACCGAAAGAAAAAAGAACATATTAACATACGTGCAAAAGACTATTCATAATTTAAAAATGAATGTTAGCTCTTTTCTTTAAAAAAGTATTCAAATCCTTTTTATTGTACTCTAAGCAATGCATGAAACAAATCCAGAAAATTTGTCACAGGTTTTGGTTTTAGTATACCGCTCTAACATGGTTGTTATTTTTGATATATGCTACTCAATGCTTTGTAAACAGGGATTATATCTAAGCAGCTAAAATTAAAGTTTCTCAACATCAAATATAGAAGATAAAGTCAAACTAATTACAGTGCACACACAAAAGGAAACTGGCAAAAAAAAAAAAAATACCTACATGATAGTTGTGTTGAAGTTCTGGTAAAAAGATCAAAGTGAGAAGAATAAGTTTCAAAATACTCACCAAATACATGCATAAAAACGAGGTCAATATGATTTTGTTGTTGTTGTCTTAGTAAAATATGTTTAATTTAGACCAGGGATGCTCAAGTCCAGTCCTCGAGAGCTACCATCCCGCAACTATCAGATGCATCCCTGCTCCAACACACCTGAATCAAATGAATGACTCATTACCAGGCCTGTTCATAGCTGAACCTAGTCTACTGGAGTAAGGCTGCAACTAAAAGTTGCAGGACGGTAGCTCTCGAGGACTGGACTTGAGCACCCCTGATTTAGACCAATTATGTAATTATACTGCAGTACTTTTTTTTTCTGTAATGCAGACAAAAAAAAAACAGAAGACTGATGGCGTGACAAACCCAGCAATCTTTTTTTGTTTTGTTTTCAAAATCAGAGTGGCTTTGGTGGTTACCCGTGCTTTTTATCTTGCCTATTTCAAGATCAGGCGACAGGGTTACGGTGTGATCTTGCAGCTCAAAGACCGACACAGCGTTTTTAATCATCTCTCATATATATCTGTTTTTGAAGTCGTTGTCTGGCTTCCTGGTGGTTATTTGCTAGCACGGTTTTCAACGACCATGCCTGTGCTGTGGCATGCTTCATACCAAACAAGCCAAGAGAATAGACTTTGCATTCTTTTATTTTCAAGCTGTAAGAAATTAAATGCATAACACAATGTATGACAATGTAGTTCCAAATGTATTGCAAATGATACCTTATAACATTTTACAAACAAATATATTAATAAACACATCTGTAAGATATAAATTTAAGATTAATTTACTTTTTCCAGCGATGTGCATATTACCTATTCTGATATGAATATTTAATGCATAAGTCTATTATACAGGTATAAATACCCGAGCAGAGCTTTTTAACATAATGACGTTTACTGGTGTAACAGCAGGAACATCAGGCCTGCTCAGTCTCTGGGTACAGAGGTTGGTGAGCCAGCCGTCAAACGCTGCAGTACATGAAGGGAGGCCTTTTTCACAGGAAATGCATTAACTACCCACACACTCTATCAGTTCTAACCAATATGATACTCTCATTACTTTCTGTTCCGCTTGAGTACAGCAAAAGTGAAATTCCCACGACTAATGTTACTGATTGCACTTGTTTTCAGGAGGTGCCAAAACATCTGCTGTGAAAAAGGCCATTTTATGGGACATTCTGAGCTCGACTCTGGAAACTGTGAAAAACTGGAAAGTTTTCGAATTAAGACTTTTAGTGCTTAGTTTATAGATTTGTGTCAATAACACCAGCCATCCAATTAAAGTGGTCACTTCATTGCAGTGAAACATCCGACTTAATTCCAATATATAAATTATCTTTTGAGAGTGAATTGACCACAGTCCCAGCATCCAGTCAGAAATTTAACGTCAGGAGCCACAGTTCTGCACAGGTGCCCCCGAGGACGTCCCTGCTGCTGCCGCTGCGCCGTCGACTCCTTCATCATGTCCCGGGTTCAGGGCAGCAGTTGAGGAAGACTTTGATCTTTGCTCCGATTTGCTTTTAGCTACAAGTGAAAAACAAGCAAGATATGACATGTCACGACAGATAAACATAGCAAAGAAAAAAAAAACACTTTTTTTCCCTCAAACATATGAATATAAGATAATGTAAGAGTCTTACACTCATGTTAAACAAGTGGCCCATTAAAGATCTGGATTTTTTTTTTATTGAATTTGAAGGATACAGAAAATCAGCTTTGATGCAAGTTTCTTACCTTTTGCACTACATGGTGTAAGGGTGGGTTTCTCTTCCTGTTCTCCCTCGGAAAGAGAAGCCCTAATCTTCCTCACCACGTAGGCGCAAGCTGCAATGTGATAAGTACAAATATGATTTTTTTTTTTTTTTGTAAATAGTAATTTTTTCCCCTCCTAATTTAAGCAATACTTACTTTTTAATAACCATTTTGCTCACAGTTTATATTAACTCAGCTTAGGTCAGTGAGATTATATATATATATATATATTTTTTTTTTTTCAAAACATTTTTACACCTTACTAAACTAAATATAAGTTTAGATTAGTAAATTTACATTTTAAGTTTACTAAAAGTTTACTTCCGTGTACAGGGAAGCACACTGTTCTCCCAGTGCTCGGGTTACAATATGACAGAGAACCGCTCAGTCACTCCATATCTGTTCTCCACAATGAAAAGAAACAAAAATCTGTTCGGATAAATTTGAACCACGCAGTTAAGCTGTTTGTAAACAAACCGTTTAAAGTGAGCTTTTAATACGGTCGAAATAAAATGCGATTAGACCGCGCGAATCAGGCTTGAAAAAGGACAACAACAAAAAAATACAACAAACTGGGAGCGGAAGCATATCAAGATCCGATAATTGATAAAGGAAAGGAGCTCTTCCGTGTTTTATTGTCCGAGGAGGAAAATATTACCAGCACGAAAGTCCAACTTCAAAACTTCATCAAATTCTAAACCATATTAAATACATATTATTGAATTGTAAAGAATTTAAACATATTTTAGCTTAAAAAAAAACAGCTCTAAAATCTAAATCTTGATGCTAAGGGAAAATTGTAAACAGAAAGCTGTACTTAACTTCATTAATTTATACACAAATAATAATTATTAAAAAAATACCTTTAACCAGCAGTCACACCATTAGTCTTTGGTGTTGTACGTTGCAGTTTCGATGAACTTCAAAATCGCAATTGTCGGAATTGTTTAACCTTTCAGCGTAGCTCTTCCTGAACAGCTCAATATAAATACTAACGCTTCATAGAAATGCAACCAATCATAGACTATGAATAACACTAGAGGCGGAGCTTAATAAATCCATTGTGATTGTGATTGGCTGAACCGTTGCGCAACGTAAGACAACCGTACTATTTAAAGAGATACACTCGAAAAACAGGGATACATAATCGGGTTTGATGAGCCGTGGACTCTGTGGAGAAGTCATATAAACTTCCCCACAGAGAAGTGATCAGATGAGTGACGTTAAACTGTTACACAATGTTAACATCTACGTGATCTATAATTATCTAGTGCATCGAAAAAACTAGAAGATTATTTATATAAAACAAAACCTTAATTGGTACTCGTTACAATCGTTGTTCAAAAAATGAGGAAGTGAGTTTTCTATTTTTCTTTTACTGCCTAATTCTTTGTGTTAAGTTGCCCCTGAACTAGCGGCAACTTCAAAATAGTTTTAACTCGGCATGTATGGAAAATGGTTGACATTCCAAATCACGCTTTGCATTTCATTTAAAAATCAAAGTCACAGACTCTGGAGGAAGGGAGAGAGAAGAGCCACAGGAACTGAATTGGTTTAGTTCCAGTGGGAGTTTCCACATTGATAATTTGAGGAGCCATGTTAGAGCTGGCTCCTCAAAGCACTGAGTTTTACAAGATGAAAGTCACAGCAGGCATCTACCATGACATTTCAGATCACTCCATGTTTCCCTCTGCTTTCAAGCTTCATGGGAATATTGCTTTCCATTTCCACCACAACGTGACACCTGTCCACACTGCTGAATGTAGCAATACTTACTTTTACATTGGCTTAGCATCACTGTGGTCAATGCAAATGACCTAATATTCACAGAAAATCTGTCAATGTGAAGATGAGTGACGTCAAACCCAAAAATATAGACGAGTTGAAACTGCTGGTAAAGCTGTGCGGTTTTCCTTTACACCTCAGAGTGGACACATGCTAAATGTTTCCATCTGTGCTGCATTGTTGTAGTAAGTCAAAGTACCTCAAACATATTGTCCCATGAACAGGTTAACATTTCCATATTAAATCCATTTTATTTCAGTTGTGTGGTATTCTAATTTTCTGAGAAACCCAGAGATTTCATCAGCTGTAAAACAATGACTAACATAAAAACTTGAACAATAAAAAAAGAACTGTTTAATGAATCTGAGTTTAATTCTAAAATATTGGTTTTGATCTTAACTTTTCTGCAGATGTTAGGCAATTAAAAATATGTTCAGGTTTTCTCAAACATCTAACAATCTTGCATCAATAAGAAATGTAAAAATTAAACAGTGCTGATTTATTATTTTTTACCCCTGTCACAGCTTAACCTGCTGTGACAAGAGTCGCAGCAGGTTAGAATAAGCTCAAACTAGCATAATACATGTAATAATTTATTGTTAAGCATTTATTGCAGTTTACAGAGCTTTTTATTATGCCATTTTAATTATAATGGCAATCATCAGGGTCAAGTTTCTACACAGTCCAACAAATACCTGTTATTTGAAGAAGAAGCACAGCAAAACAAGAACATACTTTCTCATATTCAATATATACACATACATTTTTCTTTAACTTAAACCTTTGACAGTTCCATACAGCAAAACAAACAAAAAGACAAATCTACTTTCTCCATAACATTTTTTTTTTACAATATAAATGGTCTTGCAATCACCAGTGAGAAAAATGTTTGAAGTTAAAGGAAGGAATGATTGGAGCTGTGAAGCTGAAAGGAGGAAGGCAATATTTGCTCAGTGTACATTCCCTGGGATAGTATTGATAAAGACAGGCTGAATGGGCACCATTTCAATACTGCCATTATTTAATTGGGTACAATTTAATGTCAGGATTTTATATCGGTGCTGTAAACTCAAAAACAATTCAGTGTTGTGCTCTTCCGCCCACCAAACTTTCACAGATACAGATACAGCACAAGACATCAACACAAACACAAATATTCACCAGAAAACTGTTAGGATGAAGCAGGGGTGGTGACGGGAGGATTTAATCCATCCTGATCTTCTGATTGGTCATCCTGTAGATGATGCTGTCATATCCCGGGTCCATGTTCCACAGGTTGTAAGCAATGACGATGACTGCGAGGGCCAGAGCGATCATCAGCCACAGCACGATGTTGAAGATCACAGCGTATTGAAAGTTGTACTTGTAGGCCAGGTTGTAGGGGCTGCCTGGGTTACTCTGGAAATATTCAACCCAGTCAAATAAGTAAAATACAAAGTGTGCGTAGACACATTTATCTAATTCAGTTGTTATATAGCATTTACTAGGTAGAGATACAGTCTGACAAAACAACAAGTCTTCCACTCATAATGATCATAATAGTTTGTGTTCAAACCGCAACACTCACAAGTATCAATAAGGGCAAACTAAACAATTACAACACATCTTTATTATATATTCTATTATGTGACAAAATTACTCAGGCTGTCACTTCATATTTTAATCATGATTGGATGGATGCACAAAAATGACCACTAAGACTAACCTGGTGACACGCCCAAATCACTATCTCGGTAAACATAAACAAGCACTTCCATCCGGCTAGTTCATAAAATGACAATGATGCATCTTATTGGCAATAAAAACTGCTTACATATTAACTGAGAAGATCGACAGAAGATCAAAATTTTATAACATGCTACATCAGATGATAAGTCACATTTCCATATGATGTATACAAAGAACTCTGGAGATTAAGTTTAAAAAAGGAGAAATAGCTTTAATTTAAATTGGGTGTGCTCAAGGTTATGAGCTCACAAGACAACCCTCATACATTGTCAAAAATTTTGGGAAAATTAGAAATTCCTTTTGATTTTTTATGAACTAAGAATTTCACAAATCATGAACTGTGTTTTGATTATTCTTATTGTAGTTTTCCAGCGTGTCTTACTTTAATGTAGATGTGTGAAGCACTGAAAACCTTGCACAAAGCCTATTTGGTTTCAATAAACAAAAAATGGATTTTTTGAAACTAAGAGTTAAAGGCCTCTGTTCAGTATAAAATTATACAGTGTGCTTTTGTGTAGAGACAATAGGAAATATCAATGCATTTTAATATTCAAAACATGCCACAACATTTCCTTAAATGTTATTAAAGAAAAAAAAAAGCAAACAAGAGCATAAAGCTGCTACTATAAATTACTACTAATTCTCCCAGATATTTTGTTTATGTTTGGAGTAACTTATTGATTACAATTGTGTATTTTGTTTTTAATTTTATGCATGTTTAAGTTTCTTGGTTTAACTACCTATTTCTCATTAAATAACTGAACTAGTGCTCTCTCTCTCTTTATCGCTCTCTCTCTACTGCCACATCTTATTAGAAGTAACAAAGGACTTACAATCTGTTTTGATTCCAAGATTGAACGAGACTTTCTGGTCAAAGGAGCTTCAAAGGTTTTCACAGTAACAACCTCCACTACAGCCCTGTTGCCATAGAGTCGATACATGTCTTCTCCAAACTGTAATAAAAAAGCAAGAATATGGTTAAATCTAAGGTACATTAAAGATAATGTTGACAGTTTTACTCCCTCAGATCTTACCTTCTGGAGGACAGAAGCAAGAATGGCCGTGGCGTCGCGGTACTGAGGAGAGTCTTTGCCATAAAGACGACTCAGCTCCTCCAAGCCGGACAGCTCTAGAGAGTACAAATCAGGGGAGAAGTCCTTGGCCAGATGTCTGTGCCTCTGGAGCTGTGAGAGGAGTAGATCTCATTCAAACCTGATTCACCAGTTTCCTTTCTAAGATGGAAAAAAAAAAAAAGAGATCTGCAACATCTGGGGCAGTTTACCAGAGCGGTGATATCGTGCAGTACTTGAACCTCAGACAGGAAGAGCAAGTCAGCCTAGGACGAAAATAAGTAGAAAGGTTATGGTGTGAAGTTTGGTTGGAACATAATCATACAGACGCAATCTTTTTCAGGTTCAAATTGGGGCTGCAACTAATGATTATTTTAGTAATGGATTTTTTGAATAAAAAAATTTAAACATTGTCGCTTTTTTATTTAACCATGTAAGCCTTTTTAGAAAATTTCAGAAATACAATAACAGATCCAAATGAACCAATAATCTTATTTATTTTTAAATAAAAATAATTCTTATAGTATATTTTTTTTAAACAGAAGATGTAGCTAACGTGTACTGCAAATGTTAGACACCAACTTCTGAATTTCTGCTTAGGGAGTTGAGGGGAAGAGAAGTCAGCACGGAGCCATCCTGGGAAAGGCGTGCGCGGATCTGCTGTAAGGTGACCGGAAGGTCCTCAAACACAGCATTGGCCTTGCCAAGCATGTACAGCCGCTGGAGGGGACAAAACATTAGGCAAAGATATACAAAAATAAATGAGCATATTTGCAGATATTTATTGTTCTCTGTTCTGTATAAGCTGATTTTTTTTTACCTCCTCACTTGGAGCCAGTTGTAGCACTACGGGGGTGTATTCAGAAAACAAAGAGTGGACCGTCTCTGCAACACTGTCCAGGGTGAAGGGTACTGGCTGAGAGAGGAGAAGCCAGCAGGACACTGAGCAATTCACTATACTGTAGATTTTAATCTACTTGCTTCCAAGAACTGCTTGACTCACATTTTCCAGGGGGTAGGAAGCCACAGTCTGAGGAAAAGCCAGGCTGTCAACTCCTCTTACCACCACCAACACATTAGCCCGGGGTCGCTGGAACAACGGACCAGCTTGGAGCCCAGGCCACAGCAGATCCTGGGCAAACAAAAACATATTGCACTTTTAAGCTACCAACATCACAATCTCAGCACGCATCTATATAAGCAAGTTATGTTTTTCTTTACGGCAAATAAGATACCTCTTGAATAGAGAAGCCCATAGTCAGGGCCACCACATCAGGGACTTTCTCTCCAGAAACCGGCCAGTCTCCTTTCTGGAACGACACAAACTCGGGAGCCTGAAGGACCGTGAAGCTGTCTCCATGGACACCTGAAGAACAATGTAGATTCTTGTCAGTCCGAGCAAAACAAGACACGTTTTTAAAAGATGTTTAATTTTAGCTAAGCAGTTGATACTTTTATCCCTACCAATAAACTACAATGCTCTCACAATGACACTTAATGCTCCATTTAAAGTTACCATGCCTTGTAGTAGTTTTATGACTGCACTACGTGTATAAATTTGAAGTAAAAAGGTGAAATCTTGGCAACGATGTTTACAGCTCCGTGGATGGAGAAATACACTCGTGACATAGAGCAGCAGTAAAAATGGAAGTTAAAGAGGAACCAGTAGCCCAGAACAGTGTCACATGACAGCACAGGCTAATAACTAATTACCTGAAACTAGATACCACGTTATTATAAACATTTTCAATGGACATAATTGTAACTTTGAAGAGTAAATGACACATTTAACCTTAATGCTAGCATAGCGACAAACAAAAAGCAAGTTATGTTAAATTTTATGAGTTATGTCATAAGTTTTATGAAGCAGGAGCTGAATAGTTTTCCAAAACCAGTGCTATTTAGATGATTTACGTTTCTGATGCTCATTGACAGATGAAGCAAAACACGGGAATAACAGAAAAAAAGCTAAATGACCATGCTAACGATGTCCCTGGGCTGAGTAGCGACCTTTCAGATGAATATTGAGGTCCGCGGCGTTAGAAATATAACAAAGGAGGTTTGTGAAACTATGCGTGTCGATTGTTTAGCATTGGACACTTCCTACCTACTGAGGCAAGGCAACAGAGAGCAAACGCGAAGGTAAAACCAGCTTTCATCGTTGGGCAGGTCGTCACCGACATCTTTCTCCTACGAACAGCAACGGTCAGCTGACCTGACGTCATCGAAGAACAAAGCATGATGGGAGCGTTTGTAGTTTATAGCAGCAAGACGAGCCAGCTACGACCAGCTGTCTAAAAAAATAATGAAATATTAGAGAGGAATGCAGTCTACAGTTTTTTTTTGTATACTACACGTACATCTGTTAAGGTGAAATGTTTATATCTGTTCATTGAGATTATTGTATTTTCTATTGCTGCGTTCCATACACCTCGGAAGTCGGAACGAGGAGCGCTCCAGTTAAAGTGGAACACCGACCAAAATAACAGGAGCACCTTAATGGGAACGAATGCATGGTTTTTAAACTGTTTTAAAAATGCAAACTGAAGAGTCCTTAACTCTGATACCCCTAAATAAAACGTAATGCAAGGCCTTTTGGGATGCTGAAAAGGTTGTTGGTACTACCAGGGAGAAAACTAAAACGTGCGGCCCTCGAGGACCGACTTTTTGCACCCCTGCTTTGGGATATTAGTGAACAATTAGCATCATCATATCGACCAAAGAACAACAGGTGTAAGGTTATAAAATAATGTACCAAAGTTTGAACACCCCTCAGCCACATGGTGCTCAAATCCATTGAGTATTACAATTTAATGCAAATGCACAGTTTGCATTCAATGGGGGAGGGGAATCTTGTTTTTCTTGTGCTTTAAACATTGTGATGAAAAACTTCCAGTATAATAAAATGTTTTCTGTGGTTGTTGTGACAGAGTAGAGTGGTCATAACAATCAGTTCCGAGTGTGATTTATCCTTAACGATTGCGTTAAAGGTTAAATATTTTGAATGGGGGTGGGATCACTGGCAAACATTTTTAAAGAAAATAAAATGTGAAATATTTCATAATTATTATTTCTTGCATTGTTTCAAGGGAAATACTTAAATATTTTTAAGTATGATTCAACTACAATATTTTCCTTAATTTTCAATTATTTTAGACAGTGTAGGTATTTAAATAAAATAAAAAAAGGTTTATTAGATAGTTTAGGTATTGATTATTTTCAATAATTTCAATCTCTTTTTAAAATTGACATTTAAACTGTTTCTTTTTTGTTTCCATTAGGATGTGGAGCTGGTTAGATGCAGTTTAAAAACGACAGCTCATCTACAGAAATCCATTTTCTTTGACTTTAGGATCAGTTTTTTTCTTCTTCTTCTTCTAAATTTTTCCTCAGGGGCTCATTGATTTTTTTGATAGTCCGGCTTTTGAATGCCATATTTAAATTGTTTTTGTGCTGGATCATTCAGACCACTTGGCGGACTCGGGGATACCATTCCCAGATCCGGAGGTGGAGTCTGCGTGTGTAGGAAGTATCTCCACAGATTGGCTGAGTGTGTGCAGAGCAGTGACCTCCTCCACAGCGAGCGTGTCGCTAACCACCATTAAATCTCAACCAAACAAAAACACATCCACGGGAGGACACCGGGCGCTCACCCGCCTTCGAGGAGATAAAGATTTGGTCTCCTTCCTCTATTTTTCCCCCCCCTCACTTTTCGTCCAGGCTGAAGCGGTGCAGCAGCAGCTGGGGCCAGAAGCGAGCAGTATGCATTCAGACTGCAGGCTGCTATGGGCAGAGCGGTAATGGTGGGCAGGGGACCGACAGGGGCCGGGGTGCTCGTCCTGTCCGTGCTCATCGTTCTCACCGCGGAGGGCTGTCGAGGGCAGAAAGGTTGGTGCCACACCGCGGCGGGGACAACCGGAGGAGACCCGTGTCACCGCAAATACACGAACTCATCCCGGTTTAAGGTGTTGTTGGGGGGGTTAGGAAGTGTTATTGTCCGGCTAACTGAAACCTGCCTTACATGGCCGTGTGTATGTGTGTGTACGTGGGCTCTGCTTCACGCCGCGCACTGTGGAGGCTGGTGTTTTTTGGTGGAAAACTGCTCAGGGGGAAAAAAAAAAAACCCAGGCAAACCGGTTCCTGAGACTTGACGTTTTCGTTTTGTAAACGTTTATAACAAACGAACAGCAGACGTTTCAGGATTTTACCACAATGTGTTTCTGATTTTAGTCTCCCAATAAACTGGTTACCATTTAGGTTTACCATTTGTTAGGCCTTTTTATAGGTTGGTTTAAAGAACGACGCCATTTAAAAGCTTTATGGCCTTTTCTTTGCCATAAACACAATTAAATGATTGATACACATCACAGAGGACTGGGTGCTAAGCTCAAAACTGGACCCAAATAACAGCATAGCTAAACTCAAACTCAAGTTTAACTAAACCACACTGGGGTGGAGTGGCTTTTTCTACCACTTTGGGGGTGGGGGCAAACACGTGTGCCCAGTTTGTCATTAACTTATTGACTCTAGCAGTACTTTTTTTTAAATATACACAAAGATGGTATTCAATCACCTCAGGAAAGATTACTGGTGTTGCAGAGCGTAATGTGAGATGGAGCTCACTCTGCAGTTTTTCAGTAACATTTCTGAGTCATTGTCGTGTTTTTGTTCTGCTCATCTGGATAATGTCCACTCAGAGGGCTCTTGCATAACTCAAGGCTCGCATAATATTCACTTAGCACCATGGCGTGTGTCTGCAAAGTTTTATCACACAGCCCGGAATCCAGAATAAGGTTCAAACCATTACTGTGACAACATCTCTCACAGTACATTTTGTAATACAGCTTTAAAATGAAAACAGCCCATGAGCAACAGCTAATGGGTAGGACTACTGGCATTGTACCTGAGTGTCTTGTTTTTCCTCAGTAGGATTTGCTAAATAATATGTGATTTGCCTGAAGCAATTTAAGTTCTTAAATTATAAACTGAGATGGCACTGCTGCTATTCCTCACAGTAAGTGTCTTAAGGTTAAATATTCTAGTCTTTTCAACTTAAAAAAAACAACAACATGTTTTCAAGACAAAATTTTTCATGGTATCTTCTTTCGGTTAAAGATTGTGGCCCAAAATCTGAAACCTGTGAAAGGTTGTTATTCAAAATCACTTCCTAAATGCAAAACAACATCTTAAATGTTCCAGTTAATGATGTTTTCTGAATATTCTGCCTTGATAAAAGTGAGGTAATTTACTTCTGGTAGTCTTTTTGATGTCCTCCTGTAAATTTTTTTAGTATGTACTTAAAAGATTTAACTAGATATTCTACTCATCTTTGGGTAAATTAAATAATTTGGTTGGGCTAAACACTGCCGTTAATAGCTGTTGAGTGGTATAGAAGAGTGACTTTTATTCAACGTTCATGGCTCAAAATGCAACTTTGGCTGTCAGGACACAGAATGTTGTGGCATTGACAAACAGTGAGACGACGTTCAATAATGTGAATGATATTAAATATTGAGGTAAAATTTGTAATTGGCCTTTAAAACCAGTACCGATCAAGCAATACTTGTCAAAATATCCTTTCATTGAGAAACTTCCAACCCAGCCAAGAAGATGAGTATGAAAGGGCAACACGTGGGCAGGAGGAGCTTGTTGATCTGGGCCTGCAGTGGGATGCTTTCTCTGATGTTTTATGTTTTCACCATGCAAATCACTTTGAATTACCCTGTTGCTGAAATGTGGTCTACAAATAAACTTGCCTTTTACTGCTAATTGTATTCAGTCTCGCAGCTGAGCTTATCACTAAACATATTCTTGGAAATGATCAAACTTCCAACTTCATAATAAAGCTGTTATTATTATTGAATAATGTAAGGATATCAGTTGTACTTAACCCACATTTCTTTCTCTTTTTCCCCATCACTACAAAGTCTCCACCGCTTTATCAAAGTCGACATCAAGGGCAGTGAAAGTCCATCCAACTGACTGGAAATATTTTTGGCACACCGAGCATGAAAGCATCTCATTAGAAATGTAATAACCCACTAAATACTGCATCGAGGCAGTCATTTGCAATTGTAATATAAACTGCATCAATATTGAGATGATGACTTGCATTCAATGGATTGTGCAGATCTACTTAAGTCAGTAACAACAGTTTCGCTGTAGTCTTCCAGCGTGTGTGCATGAAGTTTTAAAAATGTTCCCATCTGTTTGATGACCAACTAACTCTTCAGTTTTGTTTGTAGGTGTTTAGGTTTTCAACCATAATCCTCCTGCCTGTACAAAATAGATTTGACTTTATTAAGCTCGTTCATTTGTCGAATAGGCTTGAGAGTCGAGAACCAGCAATCATAAGCTGTCTGATTATGAGATTGACACTGGTATCCTTGTGACATTTAATGATTAAACAAACAAGTTTGGTCACTTTGTTAGATTTTTTTATATTGTTTATTTTCTTTTAACTCTTCCAGTTTCTTTCTAAAGTCTGTTTGGCTGTGAAAACAACAGTTTGACCTCAGTCACATGAAATGAGTTTAGATTTTGCTATAATTGTTCTTGGGGTTTGGTTTTCTTCCATATGATGATCTAATTGATTTGCATATGAATGTCAGTGAAGCACAAAATATATATTTTTATATTTTCTAAAAGATAAACAGTCTTCTATGGCTACTAGGTTTCATATTGATTTGTCCTCAAATTCTATACTATCATCTGTTCTCATTGTGGTTCAGGAAACCAGTGGCTTTTATTTCTTGCATTTCTGAAAACTGCTGAAACCACTTCTTAGGAATTGTTCTATTCGTAAGCAGTGATGGTAAATATTCAAAATTTCAAATCAAACTCCATTCCACAGTTTGAAAAATGTAAATGTATGATCCTACATTCATTTAATTAAACATCCACGGTGCAACAGTAGGGATCTGTAATCTTTCTTTTGACCTCATCAATAGCAGAGTATGTTTGTTCGGAGCAGAAATGTGTAACTGAGACATCTTGTTTTGTCTTAAAACCGAGGTCAAGATTTGTGAGCTAGTGCAAGGTTTAAAGATTCAAACTGTTTTCACTGTTATTGCTCCTGGTTTCTCTAGGCAGCTGGATCAGGTTGTTAAGATAATGAGTAGATGTACAAAAGAGTGTGTTCAGGTTTCAGAATGCTTCAAACCTTTAATTTCCCAGAAATTACTTACGATAAAGGAGCTGAAAGGGAAATATGTAGGAAAACTTCCAGCTTGAAAGGTTCGTGCGAGTAGATTCATCTGATTGCACTGAGCTGATCAATTAATTAGGACCACTGAATGGACCTTTACATTGGAGTCAGAGTCTCCCAGGTGCACAACAAACATAACTTCCTATGGTGCTATGCAGGTAGGATGACAATTTGGGGTTAAGTGTCTTGCAAAATTGCACAAATGATGGGGTGGAAGATGGTTTCTGATTCATCTGGGACATTTCTTGGGCTTGAACCCAAAATGTCAATGTGAGCTACCTGGTGATGCATTGTGCTTGGAAAAGCTTTGTTTGTCATTGTATTGCTTCTGGTTCATCTGGCAAAATTCCTCCATTTCCGAGATGTCCCAATCAGTCCGAAGTGGGGGACTTTTCCGAAAAAGTAACTTGACCTTTGTCCTCTGCAGTTCAGTCCTGGTACTTGGTGCAGAAAGTCAGTCTATCTTTGATGTTATACTTTGAGAAGATCAGCTTCTGCGTCTGCTTTCCTTAGCATTGTCTATCTTACTCTATGCAATTGCAATCATACCAGCATGCTGCCATTGCTCTACACTGGTGGCAAACAAATCCTTCAGCTGAAACCTGTGTAGGCGACGGTTCTTGCACATGGACGCTTTGAAGCTTCTTAGCAGTTTGATTATTTGTTGATTGGTGTGCAGTCTTTCTTGTAACAATATAATCGAACTACCTTCATGAAAATTGATTACAACATGTGATGTAAATAGCCATGGTTTGCCATAGGAAAAATGATTTAAAGCCACTTTAAGCAGCCATTTTGCCCTTCTAATCCAATAAAAATGACAGCATACTGTCAGTTTAGCACTCCTGGTTAATAATTTCCTCCTAGGCAGACCATGAGATCACAGAAAGGGTGATAACTGGTCATTTGTGCCTGGCCAAAACACAGCATGCAGCCTATGTTTTTATAATTAAGGAAGTTTTCATTCATTTTGGGGAAAAAGGGCATTTTGTCTGAATAGCAACTTTCTTAATTGCAACTTACACACGATGCAAAGTGTCGCCATAAAAACTGAAACAGTGAAGATTTTTATCAGTTTGAAAACTTTCGGCCATTGAACAGCTTCTGGGGAAGCCAGGGTTGCATTAGAAGTCAGGACTGTGGATGGTAATTTCCCAAGGTACCTTAAGAGAAGGAAAAAAGGTGAAAATTCAATGATTTGTTGGGCTAATTGTAGTCTCCAGTTTTCTACATTGCCAGTGAAAGGATATAGATGAAATTTGATTTTATTTTTGTTCACATGCAGAGCAGTAAAGAAAGACAAGAATTTTGAAAAATACTGGAATTTCCTCACCTTTTTTTCTCTCTCATTGTCCAAAAGTTGTTCCTCCATCTCAAGCCATAATTTCTTTAATTTTCTTCTTCTTGCTTCTTTGTTCATCTGTTCTTTCCCTTTGTACTTTGCTTTGCAAATGTAAATGTGTGTATTTATGTTGCACTGCAGGTGATGGCTGCGGCCCCAGTGTGCTCGGCCCCAGCAGCGGGACGCTGTCCTCTCTGGACAATCTGAGGACATACCCGAGTGACACTGTGTGTGAGTGGGAGATCACTGTGCCGCGTGGAAAGAGGATCCACTTTCGATTTGCTCTGCTGGACTTAGGAGACAGTGACTGCCAGGTCAACTATCTCCGCCTCTACAACGGCATCGGATCCAAAAAGACTGAGATTGGTGAGCAAAAAAAAAAACAAAAAACAATGATACTGACTGGTTTTCTAAAACAGACTTTTAACCATCAAGTTTTAGGATTAGAGGGTGACTTTTAGGAATGATTAGAAGCCACTCTTTGCTTCAAGTCAGGCAGCTTTTGGTCCCAGTTTATAAACTGCACCAAGTTGATGTTTGCTGTAAGTGAAGTTGTATAGATATTTTTGTTTGTGTGCTTATCAAGAAAAAAAATGTCCAAAAATCTAAACACTTGGGGACATTCAGCAGTTACTCTGTGGTGATCAAATAGTTTTGAAGTTATTTTTGACTGGGATGATCAGTTTTTGATCTGCCATCATTAAAATAACTGTAAAAGTGTTATTTTTGTTACTCTCAAAGTTAAGGGCCATGAATGCAAATTCCCTCCATATTTTTTATGTTTGGATGGATAGATATAAATTCACATTGAAATTTAAGCTTGCAACATTACTGATTTGTTGATAGGTTTCTGAGATATAAGCACTTTTAGTGTGCACTGTATGATGTTTTTGGTTAATTGTTAAATTTGTGAACTTTCAGGCATAGATTAATTTTAAGAAAACCAAACTACACAGTGCTGATGCTCACTGGTTTGAGTAGAACAATGCCCTGGTTATATTTAAAGCTACCCAACTAAAAGTGGTCTACCTTTACTCTGATCATGTTTCTAAACAGAATGTCTACTTTCCTTCACAGTAAAATGTATTATGAAGTTTATATGGGGTAGATTAATTTAGGGACAACAAACCACTAACCTCAAGCCCAAAGCAGTCTACTGTACTTTGACATATGATACTGAAATTTAAAGCTGCTTTCTCCTTTGTTTAAAGAACACACAAAAAACATAATGGATGGGTATTTGGTGATTCTACAAGCAGAACCACAGAAGCCCACTTTGTGTGTAGTTATGAAAGCAGCAGCCATTTATGAGAGGATTGTAGCAGTGAGTGAGAAACGCAAGCATTTCTCACTGAATTTAGGCAGCTTTGTCTACTGTCATTGACTAAAATTATAATCCACTGTCGTGTTTGCACTTCTGAAACATACCACACAGTCTTAAAGGAAAGTAATTGAAATGGAGCTAATTAATAGTTAAAAAAAATACACGTCTGTATTTTTATTTCTTAATTATAAGTAACTGATGTTTTGTAGGATGAGCGTTGGATTCAAAACAACAGTCTTTTGAGTCGGCAACAAGCCAACAATAGCAACACTAGATTGGAGATAATAAATACTCTGGTTGAAATTCGGGTCTTACAGAGTCTCAGTGAATTATTGTTGCGAGCAACTTAATAATGTTGCATAATGGATTATTGTGAGCCGTGTAGTTCTCGCTCTCTTTACATTTTATGTTTTATTAAAAGGCCTCTTGGATTAACCCTTTAAAAGTAAGGGAAAAGTCACTGTGAAAATATGCTGATCAACCAAAAATCCGTGACACAGGAAAAGTGACGCTGCTCATTCTGCTACAATGGAATGTTTACTGGCCCCATACCAGCATGAACACCTCATCAGCGATGGGAGTGTCATGGTTAGAGCTTGCTTTTGAAACTTGGAAGTCAGTCATCTGTTAGTCAACTTAACCTGATGTATAAAGTCCTGCTTCTTAATTTGAATTCAGTTGTGCTAATATAATTTTTTTTTCTGTCTTAGGACAATTGCTGCTATAAGTTTTGATGTGGATTGAATTAAACTTGGGCTTAAGTTTGATTTCATTTTGTTGTGGTTGAGGGAACACATGATGAAGTGGTTGGAGGAAATCCTAAAAGATTACTTGAGTATGCATTAAAGTGACAGCTTGGAGAAAGCTTGGACTCATTATGAATATTAAGGTTTTTAAAAAAGTAACTTAAAAAAATACACATATTTTCCTTCCTGTTATTCCTACAATTTGAAGTAACTTTATTGAGTCATCAAGGAAAATGTCCTGGAATTGCCTGTTTTTTCTCCAGCTTTATAGAGCATATCATAGTGAGGTGCAGCCCTTCCCCCACATGTTGCTGGACATTGCTCAGCTGAAAGGGGGTTACTATTTTCTCACTTACAATAAAGGCGGATTGTTGTGTAGATATTTCTGGTTACTCTGATCATGGTGTACAAACTAAACAAATTAAAGGAGTGGTAGATGAGCGGTAACATTTTTCTAAAATGACATTTAGAAAACCATGACATCATGCCTGTAAAACAGCTGAGTGAATGCAGGCTGGCAAATTGAGGCGAAACCATAACTAATTAACCAGCCAGCCTCACTTGTTATGCCTGCATTACAACAACGATACAAAAAAAGTACATTATTATGCATAGTTTCTTAGTAAATCTATGTATAAAATTTCACTAATCACTTTGCTTTTTATTTCTTGCATTAAAGTGAAATACTGTGGTTTGGATCAGAAGGTTGATGAGCTGATCGAGTCTTCAGGCAACCAGGTGACCGTCCAGTTCAGGAGTGTGATGCACCGTTCAGGACGTGGATTCTACCTGTCCTACTCCACCACTGAACACTCAGGTATGCAGGCTGCTGGCTTGCTTTACATTATTGTTTTTTTTTTTTTTTCTTCATTCTCCAGTGGCATTCATTTTAATTAAGAGTCCTGAGCACCGTTTTTGTTTAAGCCCTGGAGGTAAGAGTTGCTAGGATTTTCTGTGTTAGTCACAGCTGTTTTCTTTCTGTACCCCAGCTTTATTTTTATGACTATGAAGTAATTGTATTGTCCTGAAAAAACACTCATACATAAGTCTTTTAACATATGGGTTTGTCTAAAAGCTGGCAGCTTGTTGCATTTTCCTTGTCTCTGTATGTCATTTGATCTGAGCTATCAGATGTGCAGTTGAAACCAGATGTTTACATACACTGTGTAAAAAGGAATATAACCGTTTTCTCTCACTTCTTGGCATAAAGTGTGACTGAAGGTTTCCTAGATTACATCAGCTAGGATGACCAGGATTATTCCTTTTTCCCTGAATGCAAGAACGATGGCTTCACATTGGCAGTTTTACTCATTATTTAGCAGAATTTCACCCTTCAAACCTTTGACATGGGTCAAATGTTTTGGGTATCCATCCACAAGCTGAACCGGTATATCCAGGTCAGCTTGTACTCAGACACATCTCTTGCAGATCAGGCTATTATGATACTCACTTGAAAATATTAACTAGTTTGGCGTTAAAACATCTTAAATTTATTGTAAAAAAAAGTAAGTTAATGTTTTAATCACAGGTATAAAATGTTGTCCTGGCAGTAATATTTAATCTCTTATAGGTATTTTTGTTGTGGGGTTTTCTGTTGGGCAAAAGTTTGTGTCGCATGCTGACATCTTTATTGCGTTGTTGAAGCAACTAACAAATAACTACATATGCTAGCTACCCTTGCTAGCTAGCTAATGAAGTCTTAAATTTGAGTATGTGAAACCTGCAGAAAACCTGGTTCCAATGCTGACTGGTGTCTGCCTTTCCCCCCCCAAATGTGACAATAGCCATTACTGCAAAACATTTGGACATCCATTTGGAAACAGTAATCTTGCTTTCTAAACTGGTTTGCAGGAATTACTTCTTCTTCTCTGAGTGACCTCTTAGTCCAAGTCTGTTAGGGATTCATTAGATAATGGACGCTCACTTACCAACTTCAGCTTTTACCGGCCTCCTTCCTGGACAGAGTGAAAGCTAGACCTTCTTCGAACAGATGAATGTGGCATCTTCTAGAAATTGTTTGTTCCCAAGGATGAACCAGACTTGTAGAAATCCAGTTCTCTTCCTGACATCTTGCCTGATTTCTTCAAATTTTTCCCATAATGTCACATGAGGAAATGTTCGCTGTTGTTCTTTTAAATACGTCCACATCTTTGCATCCTAAACTTGAGAACTTAAAAACTTGTGACAAACAAATATCTTGTTTATCTCAGTACACATGTTGGTCAGTAAGTTACAGAAATATTTAACGGTGTAACGGTCATCGTGACTCGACTGAATCACACTGGGTGGCATTTTTCCCACCACAAAGCTGATGCATGAGTTTTCCTAACATGATCACTAAGGTGTGTGTGGGTGGGCAGCTTGACCAAAAAAAATAATGTACCAATCACCATGGTGAATGTGAGGTGGCTTTTTTTTCTCTCTTTTTTTTTTTCCATCTTAACTTTGTTTTCGAGGTACAGTTTTTGATCATATTAATGTGGTCACGACAGAAGGAGGTTGCAAGTCACCGCAGAGTTTACATGACATTCCCAGCAGCCCACATCATCCTGTGAGACATGACTGCTGCGTTTGATCACCCATTGTACTCCCACAGGCATGCAGGGCCACTTTGTTGTTTTTCAGAGTTTACATGGAAAGATTCACGTCGGGTTCAAAATTCAAATTGAATCTCCTCGGATTTATGGGTTCAGATTTATTTTTCTTTGAATGATGCAGTTTAAGCCACAATTAGGACAAATCCAGGGCGTCTGAAGTTGGTTGGCAACATGCGAGCAGCTGCGGGAGTTTTCAGGTCCGATCCAAAATGTTTTATAGAGGTCATTCGGTTACTTTTCTACTTGAGTCATCTTGTACATGCTTCCCTTATGTGGAAACATTTGACATGGCTCCCACAGAATTTCATTGTAAGGTCCTCTGAAGACCTACACAGTATATTAAACAGCAGTATCAATATGTAAAATATCTCAATTATAATGAATGCTATGTTTGATGGGGTATATTTCACACGTTGTCCACACATCCTTGTAAAATCTCAAAGTTTGTAACACAAAAGCAAGTTGGCCTTTAATATGTTTTTTCCCAGGTCTTAAATTTTGTCTCGACAGAACTATTTCATTTTATATCGTATATGTATGGATTTTTTTTCCCTTCGCAGGAGTTTTTGATCAGGCAAAAGTTTGACTCGCACTCAGACATTTTCAGTGTGTTTTGTGACTGAAGACCGTTGACTCTACCGCTAACATTCTCGGCAATAAGTGTCTAAATAATGTCCTGACGTTGTACGGCCCTCACATTTAGATTTCCGTTGACAGAAATTGATATTCCTGATATTTATAAAATTCTCTTTTTCTTTCCATGGCATTCAAATTTATAGAAAAAAAAGCCATTGAAATGCTTTTATAACCTGTTAGACTCGTGGATGGGGAGGTAATTCGAAATTGTATTAATTTGTATAAATTCTCAATTTATACAAACCACTCAGGTTTTTATGGATTACACTAAATATGATCCAGTGAATAGCAAACGTTATTAGGATATACATGTTTATTATACCTATACCCATACTTTGCATATTTCAACTAAAACTAATATATTGGAGTTTGACACCCCTGATCTAACATGACAAAATATGAAAAGCTTAAGAGGTGTGAATACTTTTGCAAGGGGCTGTGGCTCTCCACTTACTGAGTGATCAAGAAATATGTAAGCAATTTTAAAAACTTCTATGCTTTAAAAGTTTCTCTAAAAACCTGTCCGGTTTTGGAAAACAATGATTTTTATTTTGTACTTTATAATTTTCAGACAACTGATTGCAAAGACACAGAGGTAGTTGCTTGTTCTGGAGGAGGAGAGAACATTTGTTGTGCAGCGACATGCGGAGAAACCAGTTCTGATGCCATTTGTTTTTTCTTTGCAGATTTAATCACTTGCCTCAACAAAGGATCCGATTTCCCAGAGGCAGAGTTCAGGTGAGCGCTGTTTGCTTTTGGGTTTATTTTATTTAGTTTTTTGTTCAAAGACCAGACTGATACTGATGGTGTTTTTGTTTTGTTCCTTCATAGTAAATACTGTCCTGCAGGCTGCTTGACATCGACAGAGAAGATTTCTGGAACTACCCCAAATGGATACAGAGAGGTGAATACTGCCATGTCCTGGTTTGATGACCTCACAGAACCCCTGCTGTGCTTTAGGTCACAGTTGCTTAGTCTCCTAATGATGACCTCATTGTTTTATTTTCCTTGGAGCTTTTTTTTTTTGCTGGAAGATGGAGGGAAGGGTGTTGCTGACAGATGGGAAGACAGGGAGGAGCGCGGGGGCGTGCGCTTCAGGGAGCGTGGCGCCCCACAGGAACAGAGGAGGGGCAGGGTCACTGGGTAAAAGGGAGGTTAGATAATAGTTTGGCTGAAAATAATAACCCTGTAATCCAGTCCAGCTGCAGGACAGCGCCGAGCAGAGCTGCGTGTCGAGTGTTTCTGGAGAGACAAAAACCTGCCGAATGAGTCAATGTTATTAAAATGCTAGAGAAACGCGTTGCATGTGGACGCCGGGGGTGTTTTAATTTGCATGTGATTCATTCATGTTTTGCTTTCTGGAGGGCGTGTGGAATTCCAGAATGGTGATTGTCAATACGTTGAATTAGTCTTTCCACCCAGATTACTGTTTCATTCTTCTAGGTGTCTTTCACCCTCTCCAACGTCTTGCTCCTGCGTCCCGCTTCTACGCGTGTGTTTAAGTGTGCGGTTTTCTCCATTGGAGGCAGGGTGCAGTGACTTTTGTCGCAGCGGTTTGCTAAGCCTCTGTCCAGGATGTGGCGTGCGACTTTTGGGAAGTTTAAGAGTCACAGCGAAGGTGTTGATGGCTTGTGGCAGCCTTTTTACTGCTGTGTTCGTGCATAAATCCTAGCATGCTGCATGTGTACTTGTCACTCTGCGGGTCACCAGTTTTCCCACAGTCTTCTCAGCTGTGAATTCCACTGTGGGTCTTTTTTCCCGTAATAAAATTTCACTCCTGCTCGAGCAGCTGCTCATATGGAGGATCTCCTCCTCTGGAAGAGGTGGGGGTGGCAGGGTAATTTGGGTTTTTCTCAGCTGCTTTGTGATGTGGAAGCAGGTTTGGACAGGAATGCGGTCGGCCGTGACGCATTCCCATGAGTGGCTCCTGGTGTCCTCCGTTCAGAGAGAATCTGATGAATCAGGATGATGTCACTTATCTGCCCGAGTCTGAAGGTTAAAGCGAGGCGGACACCGCATTGCTGCATGAAACTGGCAGCGGATCTGTAGCGGCTAACGTAAACTTCTTATTGGTCGTTGCTTTACTCAGGAACATCAGGTTTAATTAAAGTAAACCTCAAAGGTCTTCGTTTCAAAGGTTTTCTTCAGATTGCATGGCTGATTGTGGAATAATCCTAGAATAAATCCACAGTCAGCAACTAACAATTACTTTAGTAATCAATTATTTTGACAGGTGAATATTCAGATGAAAAATTTGCAACATTCAGTTGATTTTTAACTTTGTCACAACAGCCCTTTTTTATACAATATGAGAAATACATTAAAATGCATATAAACTAATAATTCAACTCCTTTTTCAAATCAGAAAATGTAAATTTTATTACCTAAAATTATAAATTTTATGACCTAAATTGCCATAACATGCCATTCCACACTTAATCAATTGTAGCAAAGGGTGTAACTACAGCTAAAACGAAACTTCTAACATCAACATGTGAAACATAAAGGGTTTAACCCTTTATACTGTGAAGGATTACGCTGTAATTTCATTGGCTTAACCGACTTATAATGGGACTGGAAAATATGGTGATAGTTTTTGTCTTTTATAGAATTTGAACAAGGTTAAGCTAAAACTATGATATTAAAGGAGTTAAGGGGAGAATGTATTTACAGACCAAGCAGGTTCTTCTTTTTAATTGCAAATATATGTTTTTTTATGCAGTTTTATCTTACCTACTCTTCTGGTGTTCTTTAAGCAAAATTTTTTTTTTCCAGTGATCCAGTTAACAATTGATCGATTACCAAGTTAGTTGACAATTACGTCAGTAAATCGATGAATCACGATTGAGAGCTTCAGCTCTGCATCATTCATGTAATATTTTTGCTAGAACTTCACAATATCTTGAATTGCTAAAGCAATTGCATGTACTCAGTATTTGGCGTTCTGTTGTTTTAGTAGTGCCGCCCATTAACGCCCTGCATGACGGAAACATATCTGGCTAGTTGGATGGACATTTTTTACCCTTGGTGTCCATATTGGACAGTGACTGAGAAGCTAACAGTCATGGAGGGTGGTGGCAACGAGAGATTTGTTTCTTTTTCTTTTAGTACAATCATTGCTTTGGAAATATTTTACCCAAAACAGGTTTTTCCAGTCTGTCATCTGTCTGGAGCCGTTTTTTTTCCACCAGCTTGAAAAGCTGTAATTTGTTTGCTCTTCACTGTTGAATAGATACGAATCTGTGCTGTAAAGGTACCTAGCAACCGTGTCTCCTGTCTTCCTTTCCTGTGCTCGTCCCTGCAGTCGTCCCCTTTGTGTGTGGCGGCTATCCATGCAGGTGCGGTGTCCAATGCTGCGGGCGGGAAGATCACCGTGGTGAGCAGCACAGGCATTCCTCACTACGAGGCAACACTGGCTAATAACGTCACTTCCACTGTGTGAGAAATTCGGACACCGCAGCCCAGAAAACTTATCTGTACCTTTTTCATTCCTGCTCAGTTATTCATTTGTAGTTTTTTGCTTCATCTTCTTTCAGAGGAATTTTATCAAAGAATCTTTTCACCTTCAAAACAGATGGTGAGTTTTTGTTTTCTTCTTGTGAAAGCGTGGAGCTTAGAAAGCAGATAGAAATAGTGTTTTTTTCTTACACACAAAAAGAGCATGTACACACTTTTCCAAACACCAACTGAAAGCATGTTTTAAACTAAGCCTCCTCCTGTGTTATGGATGCCTCTCAGGCTGCTCCGGGACGCTGGGTTTGGAATCTGGTGGTGTTTTGGACTCTCAGCTCAGCGTTTCGTCCGTGTGGGACTGGAACTCCACCGCCGGTGAGCACGTCGTGTGGGGGAAGTCGGGAGCTCGTCTGAAGAAGCCCGGGCTTCCCTGGGCTCCTTCACCCAGCGACCGGCAGCAGTGGCTGCAGGTTGACTTCAGGAGGGAGAAGAGGATCACAGGTACATCTCTGTTCTGTTGTTCTTCCTCTTTCTATGGCTTTAATAATTATAAAAGCCATAATCTTTAGTCAGAATGATTTAGTTGATTATTCCCTTCAGTTTTGGATGCTGTGCTGTTTGAAAGATTTTGGGTGCTTTTCATTTTGGACAGTTGCTGTGATGCGCAACAAGGTGTTGTTTTTGCAAATAGGAGCAGCTGATTGGCATTTTTATAAAGCTTAAATAACACTTCAGTCCAAATAAAGAATATAGTATTAGTCTTAAAGCTGCACAGTATATATAGCAAATATATCTATTAAATAACAACAGTCTGTTTGGAAAGGACGATAATTATTGGCTAATATATCCCAAGCAGATGTTCACATAGGAGAGGAAAGGGGCAGATCACGGCTGACGTCTTCATGGCAGTATTTACAACGCTATTTATACAGCTCATCTCAATTCAATCTAATCATACACACATGCATTGATCCTATTCATCAACAATAGTTTGAAAATCTGAGGGTTTTCTAATACTTTGCAGCCCTGTTTCGTCTTCACCTGTAATCTGAGTGTTTCCTCTCTGTCCGTCACTGCAGCCATTGTCACCACGGGTTCCGACCGGAGCGAGTACCAGTACTTTGTGAAGGCATACCGGGTTCTGTTCAGCAAAGATGGCAAGGAGTGGCATTTCTACAGGGAAACTAATTCTTCGCAAGACAAGGTACAAAAAAAAAAAGGAGAAATCAATAAACCCTGCTTGTTCAGCCATTACGTCACTTGCTTTTATGTTTTTTTTTCTCCCCTCCAAATTACAGTAAATGGGTAAAGTAATTTCTTAAAGCGGCAGGAGTATTTTGTTTCCCCAGCAGCTAATATTGACTAAAAGATGTGGATGGTAGGAAATGAGAGGAGGCAGTGGTCGCAGTTAAGTGCTGTAATGGCCGAGTTGGGTATTAATAATGGAAGGATATGGATTGAGTGGCGGAGCTGCTGCCTGTGACGGTTCTCTGTGGGGAAATCACACACTCCCTCATTGTGTGGGAGATGGTAGCTATCAGCTTTTCCAGTGGGGAAATAACTTGTTCATTGTTGAGCCACCTCTGACTTTCAGCTGTCATGTTTTTTTTTTTTCCTCTTCTTAATCTATGGTAGATTTTCCAAGGTAACGTGGACTACCAGGACAAGGTGAGGAATAACTTCATTCCTCCAATCGAGGCTCGTTTTGTGAGGATCAATCCCACCTTGTGGAACCAGAGGATTGCTCTAAAGCTGGAGTTGTTTGGCTGCGTTCCTGGAGGTAAAGGAAGTTGGTTCTCCACCAGCGATCCCTTCAACGTATTAAAAAGCCGGCAAAATTATTTAGCAGGTCAGAGATTTCTGGTCTCCGTGAGACATCCTGGCTCAGTAAAGGTGCTATAGGAAGAATAATAAAAGCAAAAAGTAGGGCATGGTTCTGAATTGGAAGGAAAAGTAAGAAATGATTTTGATTTTTCAACAAATTGCAACAAATTTCTGAACATGTGAACATGTATGAATACATGCACACACACACCATGCATTTGCTGAATTCAAATCCATGACACTGTCCACTTTTCTTTTTGTGAAAAACATTTGTAAATTTCTTCCACGTTAATATTGTGTTCTACTTCATGACATAAAAATATTAATAAAATACCTTGACATTTGTTATCTTAAAGCCAGTAAGTTTAAGGAGTGTGAATACTTTTTGCAAGTCACTGCAAGTTTTGTTAAGAAGAGAGTATGGTGAAACATTTTTATATCCAAACTTTATTCTATTTTTCTATTTTTTTTTTTTTTTGGCTCCAAAGCTAAAAAGAAGAAGTTGTACTATTTGAACCACCCTGTAATGAATCACTTGTTTTAGGACTAGTTAAGGATTTTAACGATGCACAAAACTGCTGTTAGCAGGATGTATAAAACTCCAAGGTTTATTTATTTATTTTTTTTAAGTACAGCGCATTTAATTTGATACAGAAACTTATCAGAAGCTCAATTTTGCAGTGAGTAAAAAAGTTCAATTCATGGACGTATTTTGTTGGGCATCCTGTTGCTCAGGTGGCAGAGCAGCTGGTACAAAACCGTTCACTACCTCCGGTTCTGGTTCCACTCCACCTCCCGCGAAGACGAAGCACCCGCCTCATCTCAGCGAAGCAACGCACACGCCGGACATCAGAAACACGACGATGCCTCCCCACTGTGGCAAAGGTAAGGTCGCTTTGACCAGAGTGAGACCTCCCATCTGTACAGTAGTAAATCTTTGTTTTCAGCTTCGATGTTGTATTTTCACTCCCAGATGTGGTGCTGATGGCAGTTCTGGTTCCGGTGGCGGTCGTGGTTCTGACTGCTCTGATCTTGACGGTGGCTTGCGTTTGCCACTGGAGGAACAAGTACGCGTTTGTATCTCCTCACATCTCCTAAACGTGACATCTCCCCTTTGCTGACCTTTTGTTCTCCGTATAGGAAAAAGAGCGCAGAAGGAACGTACGACATTCCCTACTGGGATCGGACAGGTATGTCACCGCTCTGTCACTCCGAGCCACGTGTGTGGCTACGTCGCAGCTCCGCGACTCATTATTGGTGTGCTGCAGTCTGGTGGAAAAGCATGAAGCAGCTGCTGCCCTCCAAGATGATGGAGACCGAGGACTCTGTTCGCTACAGCACCCCTGAGGTCAGCCGGCTGGCGGGACGGAGCGCCGTTCCCAGACTGCACGCTGAACCTGCAGGTGCGCCCTGTTCACTGCAAGAAAAAAAAATCTGGTCCTTTTTTAAGCTAATAAGATGTTTTAGTCACGTGTTTCTTATGAAGTTATTAACATCAAGCTTAATGTTTCCTTAGATTATTGTACAAGAATATATCTTATCAGCCTCTGTATTTGCCCCCTGGAGGCCATCTTTTCACATTACTACCTCACTTTCTCCTTAGAAGGATTGCATAATATGATATCTTAATTTACTCAGAATTATATAGAACCACAGGTGGGTAAATATCCCACATCATGGTTGTTTTTATGCAAAATATTCAGCCGATCAGTTTCTGTCCAACATGAAGGAAGTCCTAACTCTGATGCAATAGTCCAAAAGAGACGAAGTATTTGAATCAATACGAGTTTAAATCATCATCAGTTTAAATCAGGTTTGATAAATTTTAAGTGATGATCATGAACTATATTGTTTCCCTAAAGATTAAGGTTGGAAGACTTTTTTTTAAACAAAACTGATAAAAAAAATAGTTTGCAGCAGAAAAAAAGAGCAAAACTAATGATCACAGCGTGAGTATTTATCACCTTATGTCCACATTGATTAAACAGTATTGTACTGCAGTTTGTGATTTTATAGGTGCTTCTTTTAATCTTTCTTATAACTTTTTGTTGTATTTGAAACAACCATTAAAGCAGACCAAACTGGGCTGGTATGAATGCACCCTTATTGTGTTCCAAAATAGGAGCAGCTTCAAACTTCCATCACAGACAACACACCTAAACACGCCCAAAATAACTTTGATTCCTCCATTTTGTTTAGAGTATGCCCAACCGCTGGTGAGCGGTGTGACCACACTGGGTGCACGGTCGACCTTTAAGCCAGATGAAGGGCCTGAACCGGGCTACTCGGATCCAGACCTGTACGACGCTCCCATCCCACCCGACGTTTACCACCCCTACGCAGAGCCGCTGCCGTCATCAGGAGCCGAATACGCGACTCCCATCGTAGTGGACATGGGCTGCCACCTGCCCTCCAAAGTGCTCAATTTTATGGGCTCCGGGCCCAGCCCTCTGCTCACGTGGACAGACGGCAGCCAGTCTGGGGGGTCTGTCTATGACACGCCGAAAAATGCCAATGGACAGACCATGCCCACTCAGGACCTGACCTATCAGGTCCCTCAAAAAGTTCCTCCAAAGCCAGCTGGTTGAGTGCCCAAGAGGCCAGACGAGCCCAGTTTGGGGAAGGAAAACCCAGCTGAAGATGTCTTTGAGTCTTGAATGAACACTACCTTTTAGCTTCAGATTCAGCTGGAGGTGTTTGTATTTCTTGAACTTTCCTGCAAGGCTACAAACTGCTTGCGTGGTGCCTTTAGAGTCCTATCACTGAAACTACGATGAATGTGTTGGTGACGGAAAGGAGGAAGCTGACTACTGTTTGTGAAAGACTTTGTCCCCGTTTGTGACGTGTCCACCTGTTCTCTTCTGAAGCTGTGATTTCCACCCCGATCGTCTCTCCATTCAATCACTGCATGTTTTGTTACGTCGCTTACGTTAAAATGTTTCAGAGCCGGGCCATGTTGCGTTGTCGCATCACGTCGCCTCCTTATGGTACGTATGTTTTAAAGCATGACTTGAAATTGTTAATAGTTGTTGTAATTCCATCACTGCGATCCTTTTAGGTCAAACGATTATCAGATTGTTTTATTTCACATCCTGCTGATTACCGAGCGGCCTCTCCCCCTTTTCTACCCTCACTGTTAGCGGATCAATCTGTTGCACTGTTATGGTTGAAAGACGTTTCTTTTTTTATCTTTTGAGACAACTTCTGTCATGAAGTATTTTAGCCATGACCTTTCCTGATGGAGACCAAACCTTGCCTTCTGTGGTCCAAATCCGTGCCATCACAACCAAAAAATAAAAAAAAAGTCTTAAATTAGAGAAGTATAATGTTGCAAATGGTAGTGTGTGAGATTTAGTGTTTAAGTCGGTGTTGCATCTGTCCTGAAGCGTTTAGATCGATTGTTCCCGTCTTCTGTGTTCGTCGTCTGAGTGTTTTGACCGTTTTGTGGCTGAAACGTTTAAACGTCACACCAGTAAACTGCATTCCTCTCCTGCGGCACTGATCTGAGCAAAACACTGGCTGACAGGAGGGCAGATGGTGGACAAACGTGCATCAAGCTGCTTCTTTATTTTCACAAAACAGCTGTGGGAAGGTGTGCCAGTGTCACGCGCTGATTGTGTTCAATAACCACAGAGTGATTTATGGAGATTAAAGTTCCATAGTTGCATAAAATATGTGGAATCAATCTGTTTGGGGGGGAAGGAATAAAGAGGGTTTTTTATTTTATTAAAGAAATGTTTATTTCTTTAGTACTTCGCTGAAAATTCAGTCATTGTAATATAAATAATAGTTTGGCTTTCATATTAAATTAACAATATAATTAAGCATTTAAATGAGCCGATGCTGTATTTTATGAAACTTAATGGAGAAACTGAGACACACCAATCGGCTTCTAGAGGCCACTTTAAGGGTTTAACCTGTTTGATTGCTACTTAAGAAAAAAAAAAGACACTCAAAATATATTTCCTACTTCCTGCTGCGTCGTAGCGGCAAAATCCGAGTATCAAAATGTAGTACGTTCATTTAAAAGTTCACATCAGAAAGTTTCTTTGTAGAATTTTCTAATATGAATTGGTGTTTATTTCAAAATAAACAATTAGGTTTGGAACAAATTAGAAAGCACCTGGTTCATCAGCCTTAATTTTAAAAAAAAGTTTTACCTTTCACAGTGCCAGAGTTTCTGCACAAAGAGCCAACAAGTTAAAAAATCACTTAATTTTATGTTTATACTCTGAACATAACACCGTTTCAGTAAAAAAAAAGAAAAAGAAAAATGACTAAGTTCAAAGTTCAGTAGTTTTTGGGCAAATATTTCCTTTAATGGAGAGATTGTAGTGCATCAGTTTGAAAATCTCAGCTGGCGATGTGTTCACTGAAAGAAAAAAATATATTTAGTCAGAAGCTCAACTCTAAAAACTAGGATTTTCAGTTTAATCCTTTCAACTTCATTCCAACTCAACAATTCACATCTCCCAAATTACTCCTTTAAAAAAAAAAACTGAAGTCCTTGAATTACTTAACTTTCTTTAGCAAAAAGATGCGCTAAACTCCATGTTACGACACCTTGTGCTCCAGTGAAGCATGGCCCTAATGTGACGTCTTCAAATGAAAAAACGCTACAGTTTAAAAGGCAGCATGACCACTTCCTCTTAAAACAGCTGGTTTACAACATTTGCACATTAAAGCGTTCCCAAATGGATAAACTGGTTGATAGTTCATTTAAACGTGTTAAAATTCCATGGATATTTTTCACTTTGTCTGCCCCATCTCTGGTTTGCAAGCCTTCTCAGCAGCATGAGTATCGGTTCATTCCTTCATCGGTGTCGGTCCTCAGCATCTTGGCGCCTCACTGCTTCATTCCTTCATGTTTTTCCCGTCCTTTCCGAACTTCCACCAGGCCACGGTGAGGACGACGGCCGTCAGCAGGAGCAGGCTGCTGGTCACCAGGTAAGCAATCGGCAGGAAGTGGTTCTGGCCTCCGAACCAGGTCAGCGTGGTCAGCACCACTTCCTTTCTGCCCTGGAAGTGCTGCACAGGGAAGTCTGAAGAGGCAGGAGGTCAAGGCTAATCTGTAGCAGGTAGCATGCAAATAAATATTTCACCTTCTGCTAATTATGGCACTTAGGGGGGAAAAATAACCCAAAAAAACTGTGTAAATCAAATAATTGACTGTTTCACAATGTAGAAAAATCCATTCATTAAATTGAGCCCATTAATTCAGCAGGAGGAAAAGAAATTCTGAGGAAATTAAAATCAGCACTTTTTGGTATCCTTGCAGTTGGTACTTTGTACAACCTGCTTTTGACGTCTCCAGGAACACTTTACATGCATTTCGGTGTTTTCTAACAAATGCTAACAGAGCCACACGATGTCAGTCTGGGTTTTACTGCAACTATCAAGGGCTGCTTTGGATAATACATGGTGGAAGGTCACATTTTGAAGGCTGATATTATATCTTTATCTTGCCGGATGAACTATGGAGGAAAAAAATCCAGGAAAATGCAGCTTAATCGTAACAACGTTATCATATGCAACACTTCGAAAGAATGTTTTCCTAAAATCATGCATCCCTGGATGTTGTGGAGACTTGGTGAACTAACATCAACACTTTATTGCTATTCTGGAGATTTTTTTTAATTACCACTTCACTGTGAGGGATGCTTCAGCCTTTAGTTTTTTCACAATCCCTGATGCTTTAGACTTTTTCAACTTTCAGACTCGTAGACAAGAAGTTATTTCTTGAGTATTTTTCTTGACTTATCAAGCTCATGTGCGTGTTGTCATGTCTACGCCATTGTGAAGAGTGGATAAGATTTTTTTTTAACACACTGCTTGCTGAAAGAAAGTGACAATAAAGATGATTCTGTTGTGGAATAATGTGAGACAAGAAAATGATTGAGTCGAGATTAATTTCTTCTCATTTGAACTTGAGGTGAACCGTCAAACAAGTTCCTGAAGGAGGTTTGTCATGAAACGGGCAGTGAAAGGATACTGTAGGATATGTCGATGCTGTAGTTTCCCTTCGGAAGCCCTTTTTCAAAGATGGCATCTGCTCTATTTAAAATCCCATAAAGCTTCTTGAAGTTGGGGAAAGCTGCCTCTCTCATCCAGACGATCAGATCCTCGTTAATAAAACCGTTGTTGTTCGGGTCTTGTGGGTCCAGACTGTATACAGGCTTCTGCCAGTACAGCGGCTGTCTCGTACCTGCAGAGGGAACACTACAGGTTTGCCTTCGTACGCGGCTTCTTGCGTCTTTCGTGAGAGAAACGAAAGCACGTCCCGAGGTTACGTCGTCTCTCTTTACCTTCAAACACCTCAGCAAGAGTTAGATTGTCCGACCTCGGGTTGCGGAACTTGACGTTTTTGTCTGTGTACCAGGTGAGGCCCTTCCGAAGCAAAGGGACAGGAAAGCGACGGCTGCTGGAGGAGTGATAGGTCAGGGTGAAGGAGTCTGGGAGGAGAAAAGACAGTCAGCTGGCCGATGCAGAGATAAACGACACGTTGGCTGATGAGTGTCGTGAGCAGCGTTTACCATTGAACATACTGTTGGCGATCGCTCCACATGGAGCGATGGGGACTCCGTCCTTATCTTTAGCAAACGGCTCACAATAAGTGCTGGGGTTCTTCAGAAGAAAATGAGAAATGAATGCAAGTTTTTTAAGAATAAATGAATAATTTTGCACTGGAACTGCTCTTTCCTCCCCCAATATTCTGTAAATCACAAAGCATGTTCAACTTTTATTGTACTTAAAATGTTTAGAAATGACAAAAGGTGACATTCCAAAAGCCACGTTAGGATGAGCATGTCTAGGATTTAATGTTCCCGGAGATAGTGAGCCCTCAGTGTCAGAAGTGATCTCTTTTTTCCCCTCAGTTTATTCTAATCTAGTAACGCCTTCAGCCTCACTTCAATAATTTTTAATCAATTTAAAACCTCCAAATTTTCTAAACTAAAACCGGTTTCTTCTAGGTTTCTCAGATCTGGCCTTTCTTACTCAAAACCGTTGAAACTACTTGTCATTACGTATGTAGGCTAAACAGGAGAAACTACCCATTTTTCACCATTATATTTCTGTTTATGTGACTCTTCTGATCAGGTTATTGATATAAAACCAAATGAGGATCAAACTAATCAATTTTCAAATTTTAACAAAATACAGTGTTGGCTTTTAAGGAGTTTTTAAATTGCAGCTTTTGTATGTGTAGAATCACATTTTGAACTTAAGCTGTTATTAAAAAATTGGATCCAGAGTAAATGGATCCAATGTAAATATGGGCTTTTTTTTAAGCCTGTAGAAAGACCTTCCATTAATTGACTCCAAGCTCCGCATGTGGAAGCTGTTGGTGTGAATCCGCAGCATGCAGTCATGAAATCTCTCAGTGCAAGTGTAACAGAGTTCAACAACTTCAACCATGTGAAAAGTTTAGAGGTCCAGGAAGTAAATACTGAGGATTCATGGGAAAGTCCTCTTATTGTACGGAGCTGGGAAGCTAAGACAGGTCTTTACGAAAACCACTTCTATTTTAGATCTTCAGAAATATTAGTTAAGTGTCAAGTGAAGGGAAAATGATGCATTTTTTTTACATTTCTTTCAGAAGCTAGTGCAACAAACTGCCTTAAAAAGCTACCGGGTTCGTAAGTAGAGTTTGTAATTTAATCTCCACAAATAAATGCTGCATTTTGAAGGTGACAGGAACACTTTCAGAAAACGAACAAACAAAACCACGAAGACAAAAGAACACCAGAACGTCTGACTATAAAGTTGTAGAGTATTTTACCGCAGGACTACGTTTTAAAACAATATGCTGAGTTTTGAACTCAGAGATGAATCCATCAATTGAAAATCACGCATTAGAATGACCTAGTCAAAGTCCAGACCTTAAATAACTGTGAAAATCTCTGGAAAACCTTGAAAACTGCTGTTCACACATGTTCTCCATCCAATCTGACTGAGCCGAGAGTTAAGAAAATTGAGGGAAACTTTCAGCTTTTGAATATACAATGCTGGTACCAGAATGAGAATAATAACCTCCAAAGTGGCAAAAACAAACAGATACCTTTAAGTTTTTTATCCTGCCCACCGTCTGTCCATCATCTCTGGAGTCCATGTACCTGCGGAGGTTCTGATGGAAGTTTTTGAGACCGTAGTAGAAAAAGACATCGCCCTGGGAAGAGAGCCAAAATATGAAGCAATGCGGTGCACACAGTAAGAAAAAATTATACACGTGATGCAATTTGGATTCTGGATTTGAAAGCTGAGCCTTGAAAGGGACTGATGTCACAGTATAGCCAACAAGTACACACAGGGTTGGTACCTTAAATGTTTTGTCGATTGAAAACTCCACCCGACAGTTGCAGGTCTGCGCCGCGTTGCTCACATTTTGACGCAGGTCGAAACATTTCTCACAGTCTCCCAGATCGGTGTAGTCCAGCTGGAACAACAGACATGAATTAGGACTCAAACCTTAACCTTGGCTCCTGTGTAGATACACTCCCCGTTTTATTGCTCAGAGCTCTGAGCTTCCCTTTCCCCGCGCCTCTTCCACCCACGCAGATTGGCGGATATTTCTCTGTCTACACATCAAAGTGAGAGCTGAAAAAACGAGTTATTTATGCTCACCTTGATTTCCTGCGTGCTCTGTACAAGGAGAAGCAGCCACACTCCGAGCAGCATGCATATCACAGCCAGCAGGTAGAAGAACGGCAGCACGGTGCTGGCGGTGAGCATGGGACCAGGCGGGGAGCCGCTGCTGCTTGAAAGCGGAGTTGTCCGGCCTCCGCGCCAGGGGCCCAGACTTGTCTTTGGTTTTCCCCATGAGCGGGAACGACAACAGCAACCGAGAAGACGACGCTCTGTCTTCTTTTCCTGTTGTTTTTTTTTAACGTCAGTGATGGCCGCCTATGTGCAATCAAACACACCCAGCACTCACTTCTGGGTGTAGAGTCAGTTGCAACCTGTCATTTATTAACCACAATCTCTTGCCTAACTACCTCCCTCTCTCTGTTATCTTTGTCTCATTGTTTAACTTCCTCTAAAAGTACTTTTTTCCTGAAACAAGGTCCTGTTTTAACCGACTGTAACCGTGCAAGAGTTTTGCCTCTTATTCACTGATGAGCAAAAAAGAAGAATTGCATTATTCTAAAGTTGCTATGACAAATGATTTCCTGTTAGTGACCTCATATTTAAAAGAAGGACTTCCTGTAAGCACAGACAACAGCATGGAGGTTTTATATTGAGCTAGTTTATTTTGACATGCATTTTACACAAATGGCTCCTTTATCCTTTCCACAATGTCACAGTTTTTTTAAAAAATAGTTTCTGCATTTTTAAGAAGGTTTTCATGAAACATCACTCTGAAGTCGTCTTCCATTTGCTTGATTTGAGTAAATACAGATTCTTCTATTTGTAGAAGTAAGCAATATCAAAGTTTTGTTTAGCATTTACACCAGACTCCAGGTCCAGCTTAAAAGTCTGATTTACAGTGGTTGAGAGGCAAACTCAGGCTGTAATGTTTTAGAAAACTAAATGGGGAAACATTTTTCCATACTAACCCAGACCTAGAAAACAACAAGATATTTTATACTTTCCTAGACTTCTCAAGACTAGGAAATAAAAATAGGTTAAATGAGAAGCAGACATAAACACAGTAGGAAACAAACAGTGTGATGTCCCTCAGTGATCATTTAAAATAACAAGATCACATATACGTTCAATTAAAATAGTCCAATTTTGACTCTGTCTTCTTTACAAGCAGCCAGGACTCCGTTCTCCAGCAGCTTCAAGAAGTCCAGTTTGATCTGAAAAGGACAAACATGATGCAGACCATTCAACCACCAATCTGGGCAGCACTCTGAAAAAATACTTTTCTAAAATAAAAGACATATTGTAATTATCACAGGCTTCAATTGGCCAGCATAAGATTTTTATGGAACGAGACAAAAGCTAATCTGAGACAAATCTAGACATTTACAGTAAAAATATATTTAATTCTTTTATTCCTGTCTCTGTTACATTTATTTATTATTTGTAACTACATCAAAGTGTAAAATGAAGCAATACATTTATTCTGAGTTTTTAAAGTTCTTTTTGTACAAAATATATCTCATTTTGTTGTCCTTCTCTTTGGAATATAACACTGACAGTCAAATAATCCAATATATGTTAAAAGCAGTTAATTAGACAGGCTATCCGCAGGTGTAGCATGCAGTCAGCTGCATATCAGCTTTCACGTTTCCAACTGAGTTATTTTAAAAAGACTGAGTTCTTCTTTAGTTTCCACAAAGAAACCAAAGCGTTTTCTTCCATCTGATGCCGACCCAAGCTGGTAGTGGTCTTCTTTCAGTCAGCTGTCTGGCAGTGAACAGCAACTAGTGTTGGAAAAGACCTGAAATTATGCTACTATTCTCTAAGAAACTCGTCATTTGGCCACTGTAGTCTTTTTGGTGTAATTTGACACTAATAATGGGCCCAGGGTGATAAAGGACAAAAGAAAATCTGAATTTCAACTAATAAACCGGATGCAGACCTAAAATGCTATCAAAAAACCTCTACATCTTCACAAAACTGAGTGACAAATTTTGAAATTGCAAGGTAAATGTTTCTCACACTGCTCTCCCACATTTGTCTCGGTTATTAAATGCATCCAATTTGAAAACTCCCACTTTGTTCACTGTGTTCATTTTTTTTGTTCAATAAAAATCTGATAAAAATGTCAGGGATGTATGTTTTGATAAATAAACATTAACTTGCTGGAGAATAAGGCAGAAGTAGGAGAATGTCCTGGGAAAAAAAAGTTTGGAAATACTGTGACTTCTGCTTCTTCTGCCTTCTGAAAAGAAGAGTCAGAGGCTACCAATAATCAAAATCCCATTTTTGACCCAATATTGATCTAAAATTCCATCCAAATATCAACTCTGTAAAAACCTGTTGCTTATCATTTCAATCCAGCAGGGGGCAGTAGCTCACCTCAGGAATGTCCACCATCCGCCTGAGCTTCTGGTCTCTCCAGTTCCAGTCCACAACCAGGTACCTCAAAGCCTGCAGGCTCAAACCCTCTGGAGAAAAAGAAGATGAGACTGAAACGGCTTCAGGATGTCCGAGGTGATTCGACAAACCATCATGTCCACACAAACCTTTGTCAATGAGAGCCCTGATCCTGGCTGGTGTACCCACTCCGATGTGTTTGACGCCTTTCTGCAGCAGCTTGACCTGCTCCTCAATCTACTCAAAGAAAACATAATGCCGACTGTCCCCTTCATGACTGACAACCTGCATTCGTTCTTCCAATATGTCTAAGTAAATACCTTGATGTGCTTAGCAAAAAGCTTCACTGCTTTGGCGTCGCCTTTGAAAGCAGTCAACTGCCTGCAATCAAAGCAGTCAGAGATTAGAATTCAAACTTAAAGCATTTTGATTTAACTCTGACATTTGTCACCTTATAACCACAAACCTAATGGTGCATTCACACCAGCCCTGTTTAATCGACTTCAATCAAACTCTAGTTCAGGTGCCAAAGAGTCCAGTTTGTTTAGGGAGGTGTGAATGTGTAATCGAACTCTGATGCGGATAAAAATCGCAAAGTCTGGTCTCTGCCCGAAAACCTAGGTCTCATTTCAAATAAGTGAACTCTGGCTGGGATTGAAGGAATATGTGAATGCCAAGTGGACTGGAGACTGCTCCAAAAGAAGCTTTAGTAAACTGTAGCGCAGGGAATTCTGGGTAAATACAACCAAATTAAACATGCGAGTCTTGCGCAAGTAGGGAAATGGCTCGTCTTTCACCAAAGACGAACGAGAAATCCTACCACCACTAAAATCTTTCAACGCTCCATTTTTGTCTACATTTCATGAAGAAGTTGCTTATGTCTTGTTCAGACTTTCTCAAGTTGGTTCCTTTAATCATTCTTGGTGCAGCGCCACCGCAGGAAGGAGGGTGAACACGTTTTTTTTATTAATTTGGATTGTTTGACATCAGCTGAAAATGTAACAAATATTGCAATTCTAGTACCCAATCGAACCGAGTCTACTCTGTAAAAACGCCTTAAAGTAATAGTCAAATCCCGAATTATACATGCCTTCATAGAATATATTACGTATTCAGTGTAAATGTGAACCTCAATAGCTGCACTAAAAGTAATCAAATTAACCTATAAACAGTTTTCTATTAAAGCCTCTTTTGATAAAGAACAGAAAATTATTTGGGATGAATGCTTTTGCAAGCCACTGTAACTATAATTTCTGACCGTCCAACCTCACGTTTACTTACTTGATGAGTTCTATACTTCGAAGCGCAGAGCTGCAGACAATCAGTATAACCACTGAACTCTTTTCTGAATGCTGCTTTTGGATCTTTGCCCACTTGGGACAAACTGAGAATAAGAAAACAAAAAAAGCAATCGAAGTCAAACACGAGTCTGGTTGTAAACATCTAACGACAAGCAAAAAAAAAAAAGTAAAGTAAATTTATCAAAGATCAGATCCTGGCTCACCTTGTTTCAGATAAGAGGAGAGAGTGTGTGTCAAGTCATTACTGGATAGAAAGCAGGAGTCTGTGGAAGGACACGAGGCGACCTCAGTGACTCGGTGGGTCACCAGATATCGACTGAAGATCAACGGTGAAAGGGAAATAGCGGCGACTCACTCTGCAGTTTGAGCTCTTCCAGTTCGATCACCGAGCGTTTGTCTGAGTAGTACCGAGTAATCAGGTCCTGCAGGTCAGCTGCACCGCCTGGCTTTGGCTCCGAGGTGGCCAAAACGTCTGTGATAGTTTTCTTTTTTCTCTGAAAACGAAACATATTCAACTAGTATTCCCACAAAAAGACTGTCACTACACAGCAGTTCTCCACTACAACAGTAGGTGTTGCCAGACTCACTTTTCTCTTCTTCTGGGGTTTAGTTGACTGCTGATCGTCCACTTCTTTCTCTTGAGGAATTATACACTCTTTCTGTAAAACCAATACATAAAAATATCTGTTAGACTAAATAAAGACACATGACATTAATGAAATTGATGATGTCATTTATGAAGACACAAGAACAGTATTTGTGCTTGTGGGGCTACAATTGTTGTGTCATGAAGTCACAGTCATACAGTTAACTAAAAAAAAAGTGACACATTTTATTGTCACTTATTAGAATAGTACCACAAAATATTATGATAAATCTTTAAGTCCATATAGCCCGGCCGTATTGAGACCATTTCTCTGTTCTCAATCTTTCTTTCTGATGTTTTGGTCACTTTTTACAACCCACAGAAGTTGCTTAGGTTGTGCAACTCATCCAAGATGGCACATCACTTTGAGTTGCGGCAAGAAGGTTTGGAGTGTCTCTCAGTGTCCAGAGGATGCCGTTGGTTGGGGAACGGCCAGTGGTTCCTATGTTTCCTGTGATGTATCATGTGGCTGAAGAGCTCCGGCAGGATGAAGGCCCTGATGCTATGGACTGGCCTGCCTGGTCCCCAGATTTGAATGAAATGAGAGTGCATCTGGGACATCATGTCCCGTTCCTTCCACCAACGCCACATTGCAACACAGGTGTCCAGGAGAGAACTGATGCTTTAATCCAGGTCTGGGAGACGATCGCGCAGGAGAACACACAACTACAGAGCAGAGGTCGCGTGAAAGTTTTTTGTTCTTCATTTTGACCGACAGAATAAAAAATACTATTTTTACCCGTCAATCAATAATCGTATTAACATCGGCTATTTAGCCGCATTTTTATGCGGTTTAGTTGATGTTCAACTAGTTGAACTGTAAATCCAGATTCCATCAGACATAAAGCAGATACACGCATCTAACATTTTCTCTGTGACAAAAACCATGACTGTGGCCCCAATAACTTATAATAAATAAAATTTCCCTGCTGGTAAGATACCAGCACTTCCCCTGATGGGGTCTGAACGCATAGCCTCACTAATTCCTCCTGCAGAGAAATCTGCGCAAGTTCATCAGTCAATTGGATCTGTCTGATCCAAACCGATCAATTGAACTCAAGAGATTTTTACCCTGTGCGCGGTCCGGGCGTGCACTATTAAGAGTATTTTTTTGCGTGGTTTTGCTTCCCTGAATGCCTTCCCCGTGCTTCTGAATGCCACTCTTCTGGGCCGGGAGGGTAATGTCTTCAGCTCCATTTGTCAAAACCACAGGGTGGGTCAAGTTTAATTCTTCGTAGCAGCGAAGCTGCGTCCGCATTGGTGGTGCAGCAGACTGCGCAAGTTACGGTCCAATTAATTTTTACCTTTATTTAGGATACGTTATTTTAGTGTTCCTCTAATTATTTTGAGCTACTCATTTAACTTTTCTGTATTTTGTCAAGTTGGCAGAAAAACTGCAGTGATTTTAGGGGGGATTTTACAGAGCAACACAAAAATTGTCAGCTGCCAAGCGCCAAGAAAATTCTATATCTTTTGCTAAATTTCAACAAATCTGGAAAGTGTGGTGTGCATTTGAATTAAGCCTTCATTCTGCAATACTTTCACTACATTATATCTGCAATTGTTTTAAGGTATTTCTCTTCCAGATGTGCATTTCCAGAGTGAAATTTTTGATAATTATTAGGACTGCACCAATGAATTGGCCCAGATTTCTTTCATTTTGGTCTTGCATGTGAAACGGATCTTATTTACCGCAGAGAGCTGAAAATCAGTCATTGCATTTTTTTCCCCTCTGCTGCTATGCTACCTAATTATTTTTGAGTGGAAACAATTACAAAACAAATCATCACTGAGATCCCCTCCCCTGACCCAAACTAATTTAATATCTGAGCATTTTGATGTTTTGTTCTAAAACACAGAACATTTTATGAGCACAAAATTATAAAAGTCACATGAACATTAAAGATTTCTGGTATGCACCTTCAGTGTTAACTGGAGCAGATCTGATTCAGGTTGCACTATGTAGTATTTATTTTTCATAAGAAAATGTGTCAATTAAAAACTTCATCAAAAGCAGTCATGCTGACATAGCTGCCTGCAGAGAACATGCCTGCAATTTATTTATTCGTGAACCATCCTTGTAAAAGGAAAGGAAAAAATAAAAAAAAATAAAACGCCTTGTGCTGATTATCTTAAAAAGGTCATTAAATATCCTGGTTAATATTCTGGCGGCACACAAGTAATGGTATTTTTTCCTTTTAATTTGTACATTTATTTGACAAATTTGCTCCTAAGGTGAAAAAACAGAATGGGTAGCATTGACACACAAAGGGTACAACCTGATCATTATTTTTCTTCTTCTTGGCTTTAGGGCTTTTCTCTGTCACCATTTTTCTCTTCTCTGGTTTTGTCTTTGCCTTTTCTGCTGGCTCTTTCTCCTGCTCTGACTCTTCCTCTGCCTCAACTGCATCTGTAAAAAAAAAAAAAAAAAAAAAAAAAAAAAAAAGTATAATAAAAGCTGGAAGAAGTTTTTCATTAAAATCTGCACAAGAAATAGTGTGCACTCATATCTGGGTCAGCAGAGGGAGAAAAGCTGTTGATGGAATATGGGTAAATTATGTGGTGGATGAATTAATGAATTTGTTTATTCTCTGTTCAGGGGTTAAACAAGCACAGAAAGAATGCCACATGATCCCTGAAACAATTATCTAACATCCACATAACAGATCACAGAGAGCTCTAGTTATTTATTAATGTTCCCCTGTGCTCTATAAAGTCAGAAATAATCAAATATTACCTAAGGTCTATATATAAAACTGTGCAGCAAATCTCAAACCAAGCATCTGGTTATATTTAGCCTCCCTGTTGCTACCCGTTCTCATTGCATTCTTCTAGTCTAATGCTATGAGGTCATGCTTACATCTTTTAAAATAAGTGCACAATTGGTCAACAATGTTTAAAAACAAAACCTTAAAAATCAACTTCATTTTTTTCTGGTTGTACGACAGAGACCTTTCTGGGTCTTGTTTTTCTGGTAGTTTTTCCAATCAAGGAAAGAAAAAATACCCTTTGACGTTCCTTTACTTATACCCAACCCCACCCCGACAACCTAAGTAAAAGTAAAAATTACAAGTTTCAGTATTATTATCACTATTTACATTTTTTTACAATCACTGGAACAATGTACAGATGTACTTTTCTACAGCTGCTCACCATCATCAGTATAAATTCAGCATAAAACTGCAAATTCATGCAGTCATGTATTTTTTAGCAATTCGCTGAGGGAATCGCAGATATTCCCCTGTTCCCTCATTCAGAGGGATTAAAAGGTATTCCCAGGCCAGAAAGGATTTGTAGTTTCTTCAGTCTTTCCTAAGGTCTTGTGCCTTGAGAGACTTTAAGAAGAGATGATGATCAGGTACCTCAGCTGGCTTGTTCTGATGCAGAAAGCAGTGGCTCTTTACAGAAAGTAAATACCAGCAACTTCCATCTGGGGTCTCACGGTTTCCATCATCATCCACATCGTATGACAAAAGGTCAAGGCTTGAACGTAGACAGACCAGTGACTAAGAGGAAGTGACTCTCATTCTGACCGAGTAACACTGGGCTATGAACTGATGGCTTAAGGAAACCACTAGAACCACATCATCTGCAAAAAAGCAAAGAGACCTGACAACTGCTACGTTCAGACAGCAGGCAAATGCAAACCAAATCCACTTCTTTGTTTGTCGTTGCGTAAATGAAACCTATATCCAACTTTTTTACCACAGTCTGAATTTCCCAATTTAGATATTTTCACCCCATGATACTAAATCGGATACGGATCTGATAGTTTTCAGTGTCCACAGCGTGAACGACCACGTTGAATTTTATCCAGTTTTCATGTGATGTAAGAAATGCTTCATAATTCTGCACCAGAAGACAGATATGGTAAATCAAGATGCAAACAATGGCTGAAAATTATATCATTAAATTACAAACGAAGCCTGTGTCAGCGAAGTACTTTGCATCACAATCCCACCACTCCTGTCTTCTCTACAGAAGTTGCACTTAATGCTCCACTAAAGGCCATTTCTATTAGTTGTGCTTTCTTTTTATGAGTTTCCTTTGTGTTGTTATGATCTTGTGACAACTTTGTCAGTTCCCATTGCTGAATAAACTTAAAAATCAATCCATAAATGGCTCTGTCCATTATTACTTCTGTAGACAATGCGCTAAGGTATGACTTCGACGTTCTTCTTCTGCTTAGGCAGTTAACTTTGGGGACTTAAACCTTTCATACGGACGTTGCATTGAGGTTTGAATGGCCATGCAAAAGAAATTCAATTTCAGCAGAAAATTTGAATTTCAGGATCAAGAGCTACTGGGTGAACATTGCCTAAACTTTCAAATTTTGTTAATGAGCATCATAAAGAGGATTAGTGAAAGCTCTGATGGACACCAACCTGTATTGAGGACAAGCTCAACTTGTGCCAGAAATGTGGACAAAGCTCTTACTTTGCTCATAACAGTACAAGATGGACCTTAAAGTGCTTCTGCAATTTCGTACCCCTGCATAATCCAACAATCAAAATACCTTGAGAATCGGCCATAAGTTTTCTCCAGATGAGCCAGTGATTCAACTGTAGCTGAAATATACTCATGAAAACCCTTTTCCAAGCCCGAATATCTATGGGAAGCCCCCACGTGTGCCATAACCTGTGTGGAAAAATCTTGAGGTAAGGGGCCTGGGCATGCCGGGTTGCGGTATCATAATCATACTTTAAGGAAGTGGAATACAAGGTTTCTGTGAATATATAAAGGAAAATAAAGTCCTATGTGGTTTATGCAACATTTGTTCTGATTCACACAATAGCCTTACTGTCTCTGGGTTAGTGCCTTCACTACTGGTGAGTGGGTGTTATTTGAACTACCTTAGAAGAGGATATATTTATCACCTATCTTTGAAGTCCTATATGTCACATGCTTTTGATGTCAGACTCTTTTAAGTCTAAATGCATAGGAAAGATGATGCATGCTGCTAGATCAGGATGCGTGGAATGTGGTTCAGCAAATTGTGCATATCGCTGATCTGCAGTAGCAGATCAGTGCTTCAGGTCAAGAACATCCTGAGGAAAAAGGCACTCCACAAACCAACATCAGATGCAAATTTTCCAGCTTGTTCTTTTGATCCACCGTCTCCTGATCTATTTTGCAACTGTGGCTTTTATTTCTTCCTTCCTCTCAAGTTTTTTTTTTTCCACCACTTTGGTACAATTTCAGTAACATAACTAAGACTATGATAGTCTTTAGTTATAGATATAGGAATTTGTTTTTCTTTGCATTTTTATGATAAAAATTGGTGCATCCAATAAACCTTAATGTAACTTACTGGCAAAAATTACCCAAAGTTGAATCACACTGTGACTACATAACGAGAAAGTGGTTAATCAGTATCTTTGAAGGTTTCCTGTGTATAAGCCTCAGACATTTAATCTGATGTGGTCTTAACTGAAGTATGTACTTTTAAGTTTTTCATAACTTCTGTTTTGGCAAAACTTTGTGGCTTTTAACTGTTGTGCTATGGCTTTGGGATTTCTATTGACTTTTATTTAAACCAAAAGGGGAAAACTAGTTACTGGGTGTCATAACTTTTTCCTGTGTAATACATACCAAACAAAATTTGTATTGGGGTATCTTAATTTTTCACATAATGGTTTATTGTTTCTTTATAGAGACGGTTGCCTGATACAATAATCCACTCACATGCTCCCCTTCTGTTTAAAGACCACACCCTTTATTAGTGGGCCAAACTCGCTCCTCCCACTCGCTCATTCTCACTCACTCCGACCAGATTTTGGAGAAACTATCAAAGACCAAAGAAGTGAGGATAACTGGAAGCAGAACGTGACCACTGAGGTGAAGACAGCGTTGTACCAAGATACAGTTTCCACTTCCTGCTTGATAGACACGAAAAGGGAGTAAAACAGTAGGTAAGGTTTTTTTAAAATTCCCATTTGGATTATTGATGGTCTTTTCAATAAATTCATCTTACAATAATATAAATATATATTATCAAAGAAATTAAAATAGTGAAGATGACATCCAATGATCTCGCCCGAAACATTCGCTGGAGATAGGCACCAGCACCCCTCCCAACCTCACTGGGGACAAGCGTGTATAGAAAATAAATGTATGTATGTATGAATGAATGAATGGATGGATGGACATCTAATGACATGAAATTGTCAAGCAATCAATTATCTTAAGTTAAGGTTATTTATATAAGCCGATTCTAAGTTTATGTCATCAAGTCAAGAGGATGTTTGACCTTTTTCTAGTAAATCTTGCCCCCGCCACAGGTACAGCCCAGCTGCTTGAATAGACAATATAAAACTTTGATATTCTGTGTTCACTGAGGTGCAAAACACTTTGCAGTGGGTCTGTGGGCAGAGAAGTTAGACCAATGTTTAAATGAGAATATGGAGCAGCCAAAGGGATTGGGTTGACTCTTTAAACACGTTCATTTAACCACAGACACATTGTCGCACCCCTAAACAGCTGCTGTTGAAAGTGTAAACGTGAACCAAACCAAATGAAAGCGTGAAACTTTTCAAAATTACTCACCCAATCAAACCAAACCCTAAGTCTACTAAAGTGATTGTTGAATACAAAAATATAGACATACAAATATTAAATTTACATAGAAGTATACTTTTACTGACAAAAAAGGGATTCCTTGTAGCTACTTGCCTTTCTTGTTGTGAAAACAATCATGAGCCACATGAAAAGTCACCATGAATAGAGTTAAGATGATATTTTTCCAACTACCTAATTTCAGTCTCTAACTGCAGATTTCATGTGAAAGTAAGTGTAAAATTTTGAATCTAAAAAAACCCCCCAGCTAAGTAAAATTAGCCAGCCAAAATGTGGGGTATTGGCTAAAGAAAAACTATTGGGCGACCACTAATCGAGTGTTCTCACAGGAATGACAGTAATCTATTTAAAGGTAATATGAGTCCCTTAACTTTCAGTGTTTTCTTTACCACAAAGGTTCCAAATGGTAGAGTCAGAAAAACATTTATATGACTCAAGTCTCAGTCAGTCCAAAGAGGTTACAGCTCAAAATATCCATAGATCAATAAAAGCCTGTGGCTGTAGAGAGAAATCACATACAACAAAATGGGGAAGCCAGTAATCTTTTATAGGCCATCAATAGGGCTGATTAGTTTTAATGGATGGCCAATGATGCCGAAGGGGCATAAAAAGGATTTCAGGAAGCTACTGATTGGGCCCGTTTCTGACAAATAATCTCAGATTCTGTTTTTGAAGCTGCTGAGCTCATACATAACCTGAAACAGTAATGAAACTGGAGAAGCTAATTATTCTGTTTACACTTAACAACAGGGGCAAGTAATGGTCCCTATAATGTTTCTGCAACATAAACGTGACAATAAGTGTAGGCACAATCTTTCAACAGTTCTGCTCTCAGAAAAGAGGAGTTATAATTTAGGTCTCGGTTCTGAAATCATTTGCAATTTAGCCAAAGTGTTCAAAAATCAGAATTAATGACCAAAGGTTTGTCTCAGATTTGCTAAAAAAAAACAAAAAAACCTCTTGACAATCTAAGACTTTTGAGAAAATATTCCATGGGCGTTCACTTTTAGAAAGTGAATGTCCTGTCACATTTGAAGTACAAGTTAAAGCAGTTCAGAAAAACAACATTATATCTGCACTCAATGTGGTGGTGATGGTCCAGTGATTTGCAATTTTAAGATCTAGACATAATCCATTCCATTATCAAAATTAATGAAAACATAATTTCTACTCAAGATTTTGATGTCACTACTTCACATAAAAAAAAGAAACAAAGGATTTGGAGTGGCCTAGTCAAACTCTGGACTTCCAATCCAACTGAGATGCTTTAGCATTTTCTTAATCATGGCCAATCAAAGTTTGAATACCTCCCCTGCGTGAAACAATTCTGCAAAGTATGTGCTACAATTCCTCCTCAGTGAAGAAACCAATTACCAGTCAATACAAACTCCTGTTGGTGTTTCTGCAAAGAACAGTAAAAGCAATCGATATCAGCTCATATATTCCTATCGGTGCATAGCAGGTATTGATCATATATGTTTGTACAGTTAATGCCAGTTATTTTAGTGTATGATGGTCAGAGACCATTGCTTTGATATACTGATTCCATTGCAATAAAAGTTGAAATATGCATCCGATTTATAAAATTATTCTCCAATTCCTCCCTGTTTAAGTATATAAAAAAATTCCATTGCCTTCTCTTTGCGAAAGATTGATCTGTGCAGTTTAATCCCCTGCGTTAGACTGGAACACCAGCTTCCACGTGTTAAAGCAAAGCCAATGCTGGCTGGCACAGTGTGATAGGAGCTCTAGAGGAGGTCTGATTAGCACAGCAGGTGCTAATCAGAGATACAAGGCTGTGTAAATAACCCAAAGCTTTTAAGCTTTTACAAGAATTACATGAGGAAAACCCTTGACAACACAGGGCAGCCAATGTAAAGTGGGCACGGTTTCTGATGTGATCAAAAATGTACATTTTTTAGGTTTAACCAAAACATAAACTGGAACACGAAGGACTTTATGGTATAATTTTTAAGATTGTTTATCTTATGCACACATTTCTTGTACACATTTCATTAACACTTAAAACAGGCCATCAGGGTGATCTTTTGCCATCCAACAAGTATTATTATTCTAAAGCAAATTATGGATGAAGGTGTTTTGGAGAAAATATGAAACTACAAAAAGATTTCTACTTTTCATAAGTCTCCTTATAAAGCTTAGTTATATTTGTGAATGCAACCATTTGATGTAATGCACGTGTGTTCTACCACTAAGTGTTAGAATAAACATCAAAGTTTTAATACAGTCGCACAAAAAGTGCAATTCATTTCAAGCATGCTTTTAATGGGTCCTGGTCGACAAAAAAAAACTCCTTCAGAACAACAACTTACATCATTGCAAAACCATGTGGACCATGTTTCATGACAATACTCTCAACCAAATGTTTGCAGTGTTTCTTTCCACAATTACGGCAGCAATTTGATTTAGAGACTTGAACGCAATAAAGAAAAGACCACCAACAATGCTAAGGCCACACAAAACAAGCATCCAAACAGGGCTATTACAAAAAAGGACTCTGCAAGTGTCAAACATAAACTTTCCTGATGGTATTACATTACCTCATACTAGAAACATGTTTATTTTAGTGCTCTTGTTTTAGTGTAGCTAAAGCAAAACCAGCATAACATTCCCAAAGACAGAAATTCACTAATGTTGAGTTTAATCTATTCACGGATTAAGTTTCAAATGTTTGACAGCGTTTATTTAAAACAAACTAACACAAGAAGTTGTTTCTTCTTATCGTTGTCTAAATACATGGAATCAATATGGAATTATTTTTCACTTTGTTCAAAAATAATGGAGTCATTTAATGTTCACATCACGTTTACAGAGAAGGTTATGTGACACAAATGCCTGTATTTCAATCAATTTGCAGGGTATTTTATTCTAAATTTTATCCTAATTTTCAAGGATTCCTGAAGAACTCATTGTAGCAAAATGAATAGATTACAAACCAAACTGCCTCCTGAATGATTTACAAAGTCCCCAAAAGTGAAGAACGTACCGAAAAAATGTCTCTCACCTCCTGTCTAAAGCAAAACAGAAAAACCTACAGATGCATCCAATACATTAAAATGTTAAGGTAAAGTTGTTTTAGTAAATGAAACTCATCATTGGGTTCAGGATGATCAGAGGCATTTCCAGGACTGCTGAGAGGCATATTATTGGGGAGGTACTAGACATTTCCCTTTAGGGACATGCCAGAAACAACCCAAAACAGGCTTCTCGACAGCATCCAGAAAAGATGCCTGAGTCAGCTCAGCTGATTCCTATCAATGTGAAAGAGTGGTGGCTCTACTCCCAATTGACTGAGCTCCTTGCCTCATCTGTAAGGAAACGTTCAGGCACATGAGAAAAGGAGCCAATTTTGGCTGCTTGTATCTGGGATCTTGGTCATGACAGAAACTTCATGATCGTAGGTGAGGGTAGGAACGTAGACTGACCGGTAAATTGAGGATCTTAAATTTTGTCTCTGCTCTCTCTTCACCACAACAACCCTTTGCATCGTCCACATTACTGCAGCAGCAGCACCGATCTGTCTATTGATCTTCCCTGAGATACTTGATTTCCTTCACTTAAGGGAGGATCTCCCCTCCAAGCTGGAGAGGGCAAGTTTGCCTTTACCTTTCAAGAACGTTGGTCTCTGACCATTTCTGTCATTCATATTAATTTTAGCTCGCAACCAATAAATTTAGCTGAAAATTGGACTATGACAGCAGTGTGATATGGAGGTGATCAGTCTTACGCTTAGGTTCAGTCTTAAAGAAGCGAGTGAAAGCACCTTGCTTTGATAGTCGTAGTGGCTTTCAGCTCAGTCTCATTGTTGAGTCTGATATATCTCCGATTCCTCTTTACAATACTTTATGGATTCTGTATGTGTTTTAGGTCCAGTTGGTTTGCTGTCCAATCTAAAACATTACGTGAGTAAAAGCCAAGTCCCACTGAAAAATAAAATTAGCATTTCCATAAAGCTTGTCGACAAAGGAAAGCATGAAGTGCTCAAATTTTCTGGTCGACAGCTGCATTGACTTTCGGCTTGCTAATCCCCACAGACAGCAGGAAATGACATGGCACCTCTAGCCATCGGTGACTGGAAACTTCACACAGGACCTAAAACAGTGAGGATTCTGAGGCCCCCACCATCCATCTACTTTCATCTAAGAGACGAATAACAATTCAGTCCTCCTCTTTAGTCCAGGTGAGAGACTAATGACATTGTTTGTTGTCTTGATATGTCTGAGTGTGGTGGCTCTTGAAGCTCTGACACCAGCTGTTGTCCTCACCTTCAACATCTTATCCAAGCTTTTGAATGGCCTTTACTTCCCAATCCTCTCAAGGCTGCACGTGTCTCACTCTTCCAGGCAGCTTCCTTTGAGTATATCTGACGTAGGAGCTAGTAGCACAAATCTTGCTTTTGGTTTGCAGAGTTTCTACATGACATATCCAGTCTCACCTTGATTGAAGAAACTCAGGGCTGCTCCTTGGGCTAGGTAAACACAAGTAAAGGTTACATACTTGAAGTGAACTCAAAAGTATGAACCATAATTCCGTTTCATTCTGAAAGTTTAACATGCAGCTTAAACATGCAACAGGCCACAAAATAAAATAAAACATGTAATAAAACCTTCATGAACAGCTAAGAAACAGCAGGCATTCTTAGCCAGGAGCTTAAACAAATGCAGTAAAGCTGAAGAGAAAAAAAAAGATGACCTCATCCTCTGCTAATATGAATCTGGATGCCTTCTTGGATGAACTCAGAAAGTTGGCTGCTAGACATTTGGTTTATCTGATGAAATTTGCTTCAAATACACACATGTCTCGCACACTCACACACACCCAGCAAATCTGGAATCACATATTTCATTTCTTTCAGACTAATAGTTGTCACTGCAAATGTGCAGAACGTAAATGAGCCTCACAAAAATGAATGCCAGGCACAGACAGGCTTATTCATTTCAGTAACACTCACTGTTATCTGTCTGACCACTAGTTAGTCCATAACTCATAGAGGTCACACAATAACCACTTACTGCATGGCTTTGTTCAACCTCACTGGTCACTGGGGCGCAACCTTCTTGTAGAGAAATGACGCCATCAATAGTTCCTTATTTTCCAGTTCTCCCAATTTGGCAACAGCAGCAAACATGTTCATTTCATTGAAGTGGATTCTAAAAATATTACATTTCAGTAATCTGCTACCTCTCCGTGCAGGTTTCTAAATACATTTTAAAAAATTGAAGCATGCAAGGCAACAGAGAGAAGTGTGAGGGTAGCTACTCGAGAGAAAACAAGTCTTGTTTTCTTTCTAAGTACTCTATAAAAACTTAGAAAGTAGGACAATTTACTCATTTTTCAGTTCATGTTAAATATTCTTGGAAAAAAAATAACATTCTGCAACTGCTGCCATCACAAAGTAATGTAATAATGTAATGAAATCTGTTCTCCTCACACCAAGCCAGAGATGAGGTAACCGCTGTTTTTGAAATCAGAGAAGACAGATTAAGTTTTCCTGGGGGCCTCACTGTGGACTCAGCAGAAAGGAGATGGTGCTCTGCCCTCCTGCAGAGAGACTCCCTCCTGGCTCAGCAAGACCACTTACAGGATGTTCACAATAAAGTGAATTGCTGAGGTACCCGCAGCCAGTCATATGAAACAAGGCACCATATGGAGTGAATGATCAAATCTAATGAGATGAATGTATTACAGTCTGACATAAGAGCATATAGTGTAGTTACATTACTGCACAAATTTGTTAGTTTGCTCTGCAGGTGTTTCACACAGTGAATCTCTCTTCACTATATAAAGATCTGTAAATTTTTTTGTTATTTCTTCAAAACAAATGAGAAAATATTTTAAATGCAAGTGGTTTAGAGGCAATGGAATAATGTCAGATTGGATAGAAACTGTTGAAAGTACACAGTAAGTGTTAGCATACATTATTATTACATTATCATGCCCAATTTCAGATTAGCCACTTTTTAAAGCTCTGACCTGCTGATAACTATATTAGTCAATTTTGTTTTCTCTTTAAGATTCGTAACTAACTGCAAAATATGAAAGTGAAAGTATCTTAGTAATAAATAACTTGCCTCACATATTACTTAAAATTAAAGCCACCCTAAATACTGAATCACCAAAGTCATTGCAACATATATTTTTCCAATATCACAATCTTTAAGGGTGTTTGGACTCAGTATTGAGTAACATCCGAGTCACTCATTTCCTGACATTATGCGGTCATACTGAAAATCTACAAATAGTACACTATCATCCAGCAGATTTTAAAATAAAATACAATTAAAAAAATCTTTTATACAAGACAGATTAGAAATCATTATTTTTTCCTTTCTGCACAAACATTAACCTCATCAAAAGATTTTTTTTTCAACAAGATCTCTTAAAAATAAATAAGTTGAGAAGGTAAAGCTCTGATTAATAGTGTCTGCTACATATACCTAGACAACTTTCTAAATACTATTCTTGAGAAGACACGTAAGGCACCACTATAGTGTGGAAGTCACTAGAGAAGATGATTTGCCTGATTTCACCAATCATGATCTCTGCAGAAACTGAATTCATTAAATCTTGTCCTATCAAGGTATGTTACTCTATAATCTTAGCACAAATGTTGCTGTTTGTTTTATTTTTATCTAAAGGTGAGTTTGTGCTGGTGGAGGCTAAGCCCAGTCAATATGGCAAGTAGTGGGGTTCATGAAAACTAATGGTGGAAAAGCTTGAGAAGCTTTGCAGATCACTATGAGGCCCAACTGGAGAAGAAGAGGAGCCGCACAGATTTCATCTGTGAGAGCAATGGCCTGACTACACTGCTGGAGCAGGACAGACAGATGTTTGTGCATGAAATGCTAAAAAAATTAAATATGTACCCAAGCAAAGACAATATTTATGTCATGTGCTTCCCACAGAATTAACAGACTTTAGTGAGCCACGGCTTGTAGAAAAATACATTCATTATTATCTGAATTATCTGAGGATTTTAGGAGTGGATGTAGGATTTAAACATTTGCACAATGAAACAAGCCAAAGCTAAGTTCAGTGATGTGCACGTCTATAGGATTAGATCCTTTTTATTCAGTAAAGATGGTCATGTCTGAGTGATAGAAGCTTTTAGCAGCAGCATCTTAGCAAGTCTGAGAATGTGACCTCAAGACAGAGCTTATAGTTACCCCACTCAGGCACAGTTCATTAAACCCTGGACTTGGTTACACACTGCGGTCAGTCTGGCAAAGCACTCCCTTGTAAACACACAAACATCCACTCATACAATTACATGCATAACCTAAATTGCCGCTCCCCTACGCTATTTAATAACACCACACAGTGCATACTTCGGCCTTATTCCAAACTGGAAAATGGATTGAGGGTTTTTTGGTGAGCAGAAACGATCTGCTATCTAAATACAGAGCATATTTAGAGGTAGCCGAAGTATACGTGCAGGTCCAACAAGATTCTGATTACTGGACCTCTTCAGCTAATTAAAAAATGGGCCAACGAAGGGGACGTTTGGTTGAAGGTTCTGGTTTGCTTCGGCCCATCTACTACCCGAGCCTCCTCTGTAATCTACGCATGGAGAGGCTGGACCCACGCTGGGCTTGAAGCCTTGGACGGAGACTTGTTGTCTGCAATCGTGTGCCAAACTGAAAAAATCTTTTCTGATCCACCGCAGCCACACATGCAATTAAGGGCTTGAAATAGCCATGCTTGTAGAGTGATTAAGTTCACCAGAATTTGGTCTTTTTAAATAGAACGTGGAAACCTAACATGCACAACTAAATGCTACAAGTGCTTCAGTTTGGCCCAATAAAGGGTAATGTATAAGACAACGAGTTTGTCTTTCCACAGTTTTTGTGAGATTTTATGTGACAGAAGGAAAACAAAAAGTTTTCAAAGTAGTTTTGCAAATACTAGTTTGAAAGGTATGTCAACACATTCAAGACAATATTTTACCCTTCTGCGGTATGTCTCTACCTGCTTTGCATATTCAAGATTTTACCTTTTCATTGCAGCAACCTTTTCAGTAACTATGGTCGTTTTCTCTCCTTTACGTTTCTACTGCAGGAACCAGGACCGAATCAGACAAAAGGAGAGTAGTAATCTTCCCCCGAAAATAGGTCCTGTTAAGGAGAGAAAACTTGTTGGATCAACCCTGAACTAAATATGGATCTTTGTAGTGGGAGGATACCAAATATTTATCACTGGCTGAAAATCCCCAGCATGTTATTTCAGTCATCTCCTCCTCAGCGTTTCTCCTCTGAAATTCTGCATTTGTATTTTGCAAAGTCCACATTTTAACCAAGCTCCCTATTCTGAAAATGAAAGTGTATCCAAGCCAAAGAAAGAAGTCTCACTCCTTTAAATCACTTTCAAGCATCTTACTCGTATCCTAAAATGACTACTTCTTCTGTTTTATTTCTCTACACCAGCAGCCTAGCCCAGTGCCATGTGCAGAACAGATGACCCGTTTCAGCTGCAAAATATACGCTCCATTCCCTTCACACACTGCAGACACTTTATTCAACAGTATCCCTTTTGCGTGTCAGAGGACGATTACATCCACGCATCACAATGCCAGTGCAGCGTTGTGGTTGCTCCAGCCTCATCTATCAGTCTTCTCTAAGCCAGTGTGTTGCTGAGCAATAACCACAAACACATATGCTCGACATGCAAAACACATCTCTGCCCTGATTCGTTCATAAGAGCTCTGAATCACCTCCTCCTCTGAGGCATTATCCAGCTCCCACAAAGCTCTTTTAAATCAAGTTTTTACCTCCCTCTTGATGTGGCTTGCTAATCAATGCATCCCCTTTGCTTGCTACAGACATACGACATTAAATGCATACATTCATAAAACATAAAAACAACCAAAACCCTTTGGTTCTTTAAGCAGCCAGGACTTAGGATAGAATCAAATTTACATTAACTTCCACAAAGCAAGTATGAAAAAAAGCAATTATTTCCAGTTAACTTAGTATTGGGTAATAAAATCAAAATAAACCAGAAAACCATTAACATGTGAATAGCTAGAAACTGGGGTCTTTGAAAAAAGGAAAACTTAGATGTGATCCAATGAAGTTGCAACAATTATTTGCAGCTCCCACAAAGCTAAAAAGCATCTTGGTTAAGTTTGGGTCCAGAGGACGACAGCCAGATGCTTAAACACAACAAAAGCATAACAGATGACTAAGAATATTCTTGTTTGGATAAACAGAGGAGATTAAACATTTACTGGTTCTCTCTCATTCTAAGGCAAACTTCGCTGTGCCTTCAGAGAGACAGCTGCTCTATGTATCACATAGACTAAAACTCACGTGCCAGGAATCATTCAACATTTTCTATAAGAGATTGGCAGAGGCTCAAATTGCAGCAGATCAAAACATTTTCTCAGGGTTTTCTAGCAAAAGACGCCTTAAATCTCAATGGGATTTTTCTGATAAAATAAACATTAAGTAAATAGAAACGAAATCATCA